GAAGGGGCCGGTTCGCCGACTGAAGAAGGCGCAGCGGCAAGTCCCTAATTGTGCAGTTGCTGACTGAGTATCTGTTGGTCGCTCAGCGGGCGGTGCCATAATGTGTTGGTGCCTATCCAGTTTGGAATTTGTTTTGCGTTTTAGGGTAGCGCAGCAGGGTGCGGTGTGCTAGATGTGTGTGCTTGTACTCGTTTTCGTTGTGCGTGTGTGCGCATGCGACTACTTCGTGACAGGTCGAGGAGGGGGCTAGCGAGTCTGGCGTTGATGTACTGGTGCGTCACTGTTGCGTTTGGTTGTGCATATATCTGTTTGGAGGCCAACAGCACTCGTATTTGGGCGCTGTTGGAGTGTGGCGAATGCTCAGCTGATAGGTCCAAGGTAGCTAGGTGGATCCTCCTGTTGTCGGGAGCCCGAGCTGGTTTGAGATTGCGTCTTTGGTGGTTTTATCTGTTGTGTGCGGATGGCTTTAAGCTGGAATACAGGGGTGTCTGTTTTGATAGGCAGGCAGCATTAGCAAGGCTTTAGGATGTCATGTTCGTGCATATGATGCGGGGTTTGAAAACTCAACAGGAAGTGTCATGCAAGTGCTATGCTGTTGTGCTACTGTCTAGCGGCGTTCTCAAATGTAGATGTTGCTTTTGGAATATTCCTGGAGGACGTTTCGTTTGCAAGGCATGTTCATGTATCTCTTTTGTTTGATGCTGTCGTTTTGCGGTTGTTACTGTACAGGGCGAAGGGGCCGGTTCGCCGACTGAAGAAGGCGCAGCGGCAAGTCCCTAATTGTGCAGTTGCCGACTGAGTATCTGTTGGTCGCTCAGCGGGCGGTGCCATAATGTGTTGGTGATTGCCGAGTTTTGAATTGGTTCTGGGTTTTAGGGTAGCGCAGCAGGGTGGAGTGTTTTAGATTTGTGTGCTTGTACTCGTTTTCGTTGTGCACGTGTGGACCTGCGGCTGGCTGGTGACAGGTGGAAGGCGCGACCAGCGGTCCTGGGCACGCTGAAGGAACGGTAGAAACGCCGCAGGTTGTCCCTACCAGCGAACCCCAAGTTTCTAGTGATGTTGCGGATGAAGAGGTGTGTACGTGAGCCTTGCCTCAGTATTCTGATGTTCGGCAGGCAACAGAGCGTGTCTTAGGGCGGGTTTCGTTAGGATCGAGTGTTCGGCTGATAGATCCAAGCCAGGCGCCTTCGTGTCTTGTCGGAAGAGCAACATGGTTTGAGATTTCTGCCTTTTGTTGTTTCGTCTGTTGCTTGCGGGTTCCGTAAAACAGGACGACGCGGGAGCGTACGAAGATATAAAATTAAAACTGGCAAGTCTAGGATACCCCAAGTTTCTAGTGATGTTGCGGATGAAGAGGTGTGTACGTGAGCCTTGCCTCAGTATTCTGATGTTCGGCAGGCAACAGAGCGTGTCTTAGGGCGGGTTTCGTTAGGATCGAGTGTTCGGCTGATAGATCCAAGCCAGGCGCCTTCGTGTCTTGTCGGAAGAGCAACATGGTTTGAGATTTCTGCCTTTTGTTGTTTCGTCTGTTGCTTGCGGGTTCCGTAAAACAGGACGACGCGGGAGCGTACGAAGATATAAAATTAAAACTGGCAAGTCTAGGATATTCCATTCTTTTGCGTCTGATGAGAGTGCTAGAGGCTCAATAGGCAGTGCCGGTTCCGTAGTTAGTCATTGGGTGGTCGTGCATGATAAGCGCTGAGCTCGCGGTGTTGTTACGAGGCCGACATAAACACCCTTTTTCAGGGACGTATGCACTTGCGCATCCTGTATGGTGTTGCCTCTGCCAATATGTGTAACCAGGCCGGCAGGATGGGCGGTGGTGTTCGACCACAAAGAACGGTAGGCCTTTACGACATCGTTATTCAGCACACTTTGGGTTGGTTAGAAGTTGCGCATAGCTTACGGTTTCGTTCAGCGCTGTGTTCGAACTTGAGCTGGTCATCTGAGCCGTCCGTAGAGGCGGCGCACTGGCAGGAAGTGTGCGTATAGCCGTGTTGCTTGTCGTTGTCGTTTGCTGTTGTTACTGTATAGGTCAAACGGATCGCTGTGTCGACTGTAGAAAGTGCAGCGGTAAGCCAGTGAGCGAGGCATTGCTTTGCCTGTGTTTGTATCAGGTGAATCCTCATAGTGTGTTGTTGGGTTTGGTGTTTTACGCCGTTTCTGCGTTGGAAGGCAGCGTGTCAGGGTGCAGTGTTTTAGGTGCGTGTGCTTGTACTCGTTTTCGTCGTGCGTGTGTGGGCCTGCTGCTGGCTCTTGACAGGTCGAAGGCCTTCAGGAGGATTCTGATGGTAATGAAGAGGTGCGTCTTTGAGGCCTCGCGTCGCGCACAGCTGTTAGGTGGTTCCCATGGTGTGCTTACTGGCTTTGTGTGCTGGTGGTTAGCATTTCTTTGCCAGGCCCAAACAAGGTGCCTTCCATTCTGATCGGGATGGAAACATGGTTTGAGATTGCTGTCTTTGGTTGTTTTGTCTGTTGCTTGCGGGTGCCACTAAGCAGGAAGGTTCTCCAGAAGACGACCCTGCGATTGTACGATTGGCGAATCCCGACGATTTTGGTCTTTTGCATTTGATGGGAGTGTTAACTGCTGATCAAGAAGTGCAGTAAACGTAGTTTGTTGCCCCATGTAGATGTGCCGCCACGCGGGTCCAGACAAAAGGTTTTTTCAGTGGTCCTGTACATGCATATCTTTGCAGCATATATAACTGTGTAGGGGAGGTTCGGATTCCCCACTATGCCTTGGTTGTCGGCATGGAAGTGTGTGAAGGGCCTTGATGTTGGAGCATGTTCCAGCTGCAGCGGCCCGCTCTAGAAAATTCCTTTTATGTCTACTCCCAACACAAACCTTATTGTAGAGTCCTGTCACTGCTCTATGCTGCTGGTGTTCTTGCTCATGCCACTTAACAGGATCCTTTTGATGAGGAAGCATGGATGAATCGTCCCTTTACTCCAGTGGCAATTGTAAGTGCCTAAGTAATTCTTCCTGCCCACCTGGTAGTTCCTCTGTAAAAAGCCCCTTGCTTGGTATACCTGCGCAGTGTATGCTATTGTAGTGCCTCTGCTACCTTGATTGCTCAAGCGGTAGATACATTTACCGGAATTTGTTATCCTTCGTGTGTTTGCGAATGCCGCTGGACAGGATCCTGACGTTACTGCTCGTCATCATCAGGAAGCGGTAGGATTTTACGCCTCATTTCGTGAGGCTATTGATATATCCGCAGCTAGTCCCTTGATGGCCGACGCTTCCAGGTTTCATGAGTAACTGCTCTGCAGAACGATGCGCTCCCTGTTTTGTGACGTTGTGTGCTGGTGTGCCGCAATGCCTGCAGATGGAAGAAATTCAAGCCGCAATAAAGGCAAGTGCCGGATTGCCCTCTACCACCGCGTGGAACGTTCCTTAGAGACCTGGACGATTGCTAAACTCCATCAAAATCCACTGGCTGAAACTGTCTGTGGCAGGCAGTGCATTCAGAGAAAGTTGCACTCGGCGGTGTCATCTTGTGCTTCTCAGCGTGGACCTATAAGTCCCGACGGGATTGCGGTTTCCTATTAGGAAACATTGGAACATGCACGCGTTTGGCTGCTTGCTTGCTGACTGCAGGAACATGACGCAAGATTGGCCGAAATACGCGACCGGCCTCTAGGAGCTCCGCCCAGTGAAGCGCTGCTCGCTGAGGAAGATATACCATCTGCAGACGTAAGTCATTGCTGCGCAGTGCTGACAGGCTCTATGCTTCTGGTTGGCGAGCGCCGCGACACTCAGCAATGGCGTTTGTTTATCAACCAGCTAGCGTACATATTCTGTAGCCCTCTACGTTCTATTCCAATGCCTGTTGGCATCCTGAGAAATGCTAGCAGCGTATCATATGTTTACTATTAGGGGTCTTGGTCCGACACTGTTACATTCTCTGAACTGCGTTGGTGTTCATGTAACGTCGAAGTGTTGATGGCTGTTAATCTGACCAGCAATAGGTAGCATAGCGGCCAAGGACGCGCGAGCTGAGCTCATTTGCAAGCTGGATGGAATTGTACTTTAGAGGCTCGTGCTCATGTTCGTGTTGACGTCTCATCCTTAGTGCTTGCAGATCGAATGCATATGTGTATAGCTGCTACGCACATAGTAGCAGACTCATGCTACTTTTGGATGGTGGATAGTGACCGCCCTCCGCCTTTTGAAGCTGCACTTCTCCCATAGTCGCCCAGAGTCCTGATTCCCATAGGCGTTTTCTCCCTTTCACTTGCATATGTTTAGCGATTAGCAGGGAGTCCCTAAGCCGTTATAAACCCATGCCAAGCTGCTCGTTCGTAGACTAGATAGAATCCTGCTCACATCGCCAGGGGTGTAACCAACTTCAGGACCATATATCGTTTCCTCATGCTCTCTTTCTGCTTTGCCACCCAGCTGGATGAAGAGGAGAAGGACATGAACGAAGCTCCCACTTCTGACGCTATACCGCACACACTGGCAAGTGCAGGAGCCTGTATTTCGTTCACACCTGCTTGCAGCTCAACGGCAGGCCACAACGCCGCTGTTTGCACATCGTTTGTTCTCCGGTATTTTGCCCCGAAAAAGGCACCTCGTAATGTATGATATATAGCAGCCTCCTCCAAGGTGTCCTCACTTTTTTACCTCTTCTGTTACTGCGCATGCGAATGCAATTCAACAGGCAGAGGCGACTTCCTCCCTTGCCAATGAACGAAGGCCGATTTGGAACGCACATCTTTTCGGTCCTTCAACTAGGAAGTATTGGAACTTTGGTCATCCCGTAAGTATCGGTGCTTGTTCACGCCTCTTTTCATATAATCGGTATATGAGCCTATCTTCGCGATTCTTGTGCTGTTGGGTTTTCGAATGCTCCTCAATAGGCATCAAAAGCGGCACCTGCTGATGAGCAATCCGGAACGGCAAGTCTCTAATCTGTACTCGTAGTTACTATTTGGCAGTTGAGCAGGATGTGTCGGGAGGCGGTGATAGCCGGCGTTTTATGCTCTGGTGCTCTGCTCTATGCAGAAACTCCATACAAATTACCAGGAGAGCAGTGTTTGTAGTGGGGTGTTCACTTGTGTTTCTTGTCCGCTGCTGCGTTTGCGAATGTTACTCAGCAGGAACTCCCGGCGGCCTCTGCAGGCGAAGAAGCTGAAACGGCACGTCTTAGACCTGCGCCGTTGCCACACGTACTGGATGTCCAAAAGTGCCTTGCGTCGTGCTGCTGTTGTTCAGTGGTTTATCGCTCACTGCTCACAGCCGATCAACAGCCTTCACTTAAATCACCGGTGCAGCAGCATAGCCCTAGCAGCTATACTTGGGTTTTATGTGCACAAGTGCATTTTCGAATGTTATATGACAGGCAGAGCAGCTGGAAGACTCCCAAGCGCCTCCCGAAGAAGTCGAAGAGGCGCGTCTCAAAGCACGTTCCCTCGTCCTTCACTTGGAAGCTCTGCATTAAGGGGTTTGAGGCTTAGCCGTGCTGCTCTCTCCCGCCTTGGTGAAGCCCATGCGAACGCACAACTCCAACCTGACTATAGGGTGTTGTGCCCCACTACTGTTGCGTATGTTACTTGGCAGGAACCTTTTGATGAAGAAGCGTGGATGAATCGTCCGATTAGTCCAGTATATATTGTAAGCGCCTACTATGCTTCGTGCCCACCTGTTACACTTGTGTTTCACTCATGTACATTTTAGGCTGTTGTGGTCCCTTTGGAAGCTCGATTGCTCTCAAATGCCAGGCAGACGCTGCAGAATATAGGCACACTTCTTGTCCTTGTTGCGTCTGCGAATGCCGCTGGACAGGATCCTGAAGTAACTGCTCGCCATTATGAAGAAGCGGTAGGCCTTTACGCTCCACCGTATGCACTCCATTGATAGATCCAGAGCTAGTCCCTTGATGGCGCGCGCTTACAGGGTTCGTACGGAACTGCTCACGGAGGCAGATAGTTTTGGTGTTGTGTGCGTGGGGTGCCGAAATGTTTGCAGATGGAAGAAGTTAGAATGGCCTTACTGGCAAGTGCCGGTTTGCCCCCAACCCCCTTGTTTGGCTATCCTTAAGTGTCCTGCCACACACGGGAAACTTAGAGGACTTTAGACATTGGCAGCTACAAGGCGCATCTCTGATGTGCACCTATTTTTTTCCGCCCGGCATAATTTTTGTTCATTTCAGGAGGACGAGAGAAGGCGACGGCAGGGGAGCGGTGGGAAGCCAAATCTGGGTGTCAAAAAGCAGGTCGAAAAACGGGAGGAGGGCGGCCCAAGGCCGATCCCTTGGTATATCGTCAACTCTATGGAGGTACGTACTGTGGCCTATAACCGTTTTGCTTGTATTTGACCAGCATCACGGCACGAAGATCCCTTGCTCATTACACTTCACCTTCCACGCATCCCTTCCACAGAATTTCCGGTCTCTTCCCACTCGCTCCAACGTCCGTTGCTACCCTGTGAAAGCAGCACACCTTACGCAAAGTATTTGTAGGTTTTACTCACCGTTATCATACTGTCTGAACCGCGGTTAGGCCCTTGCAGTGGGGAGGTCTTCGTTGTTGGAAGCTAGCCACGGAAGGGTTGCACGTTGGCCAAAGAGGTGTGAGGTGTGCACCTATAGTGGTTGGTCAGGTTTGTGGGGTACTTCTGGTGGGTACTTCAATGTTTCATTAGTTCATTTTTGCGAACAACTATCTTTACACGTATGCATGGTTGTGTGTGCGCGTGTGTGCTACTGTGCAGCGACAAACAGTAAGCTAATCCTGTTTGACGGGCAGCCGGTAGAAACAGGTGCTCCGACGATCCAAGCTGTTGTATGGCGGGTCTGGGAGTGCTGCTGTTGTAACATACATAAGCCATTTGCGTGTCAGAGTGATTGCAGCCAATGCCAGTAAATACGGCGCATGCTACGAGAATAGTAAGCGATATGAAACGATGCCAATGGCCCAAGGATCACTGTTTGCGCCTAAACGGTGACTGGCCGCTCTGTGGATCTGCTGCAGTTCCAGATGAAAAAACGACCACACGGCAAATCTGAGCGCCCCGCGGTATGTTTATGGCGTGTGCCTGCAGGCAGCAAGTTCTTCTTTGTGGAGTCTAGCTCCAATATTGGTTTCGAAATTGCGAAGGTTAGTTTCTGGAGTCTCCACAACCGAGTCGGCAAGTACGTCTCTCCTCTTCAGCGAGATTTTCGTGTCATCATCATTCTAGGTGAAGCACCCTTAAACAACGACGCTTCATGGGCAACATCTGACTGCGCCTGTATCTTGCAGGAGTATCAACGAGGTTTGTTCATGGCGGTCGCGAATTCAAGCTGGAGTGCACTATTAAGGCATCCCCGGAGACATATTGGGAGGGACGTTTGGATAAAATGTAACTGGAAATGCCCTCGTGTTGGGGAGTTCGCAGTTGGCGGCGAGCAAAGCTAGCCTTTTCTAATGGTGAATGTTTCGGAATTTTCACTGGTATACCAGCGTAAGCTGGGTGTTTTATTTACATCCCGTCTGACTGGACCGTGCCAGCAGTTCGGGTATTTCACCTGCCCATCCACTCAGCCGTCGCAATCTGCCTAAGCACACCTACTCGAAAGGTTGATGTGTAGTTGATTGGCTGAGCATATGGAGGACACCGTAAGAGTGAGCATTTTATGTGCTCTGGGCTACCGTGGTACCTCTGCGTAAAGAGACCCGAGAAAGAGTTGCAAACGGATTTACAAATTCGACTGTGTGCTGCTTATTGTATTTGTTGGAAATCTACATTCCATTCTGGGATATGCACGAAAGCGCGATGTAGCACGAGCAAGTTCCACGACCCTCAATAGTGTCTTCAGTGGGTTTCAATTCAGTTATGTAGCGTGTTCGGATGTCACGCATAATCCACGCATATTAGAACCCCAGTAAAATCTCTACTCTGATTCAGTCTGATAGGTGCAACAAAGTGCCCAAAAGCAAGTAGAAGTAGTTTTGGACTTCTGGGCATACGAGAGAATATGGCGCATGGTTGAAGAGGCACGAAATAATAGACATCGATTCACCACATTGGTGAAACCAGCACTCTTCGCCTTGCTCTGCTATGGCATAACCAACCCTGCGGACGGCGCGATAGGCAACGAACCTATTGGAAATCTTATTAATACAGTCGCTCTATCAGCTGCATTGGAATTACTGTATGGTGATTCATTACAAGTTGTCTACAGCGTTTCCCTGCATGCCTAGTCCTTATCAGACGCGCTCGCGTTCGGGCCGCATTTTACGTACTTTTCTCCCCAAGCCGTACCAGTGTGGCCTCCACTAGCAGGAGGCAACCAACGAACCCTCTGTTAGAGCTCAAATGGCTAGGGTGCCTTTCTTTCGTACTTAGGAAATCCAGCAAATACGGCAAAGGGAATCGAGCAGAACAGAAGTGCCACCAGGCCGCCCATAGGACATCCCCAACCCTTCTTCCCGTATGTGTCTTGAGGTAGTCTCTGTGGTTCTAACTGGTGTATGAACAAATCTATTCTCCTAATTGCTGATTTAAGAGAGAGGGCACACCGATACAGGTCACCACCTGCTTCATCAGTGGTGGCGGTCTGACCAGTGGTTTGGCGGGCGCATTTCCATATAGTGGAGGGCTCTGCAGCATTCACAAAATCAAAACATTCAAAGTACATAAGCTATGTGAGATGTATCTTTGGCGCAGCTTCACGCTGGGGATGATGAAAGCACCCCCAAGGAAGCATGCGCAGCCGCGCAAACGCTTTGTGGGCTACAAAACAGCAGCAAGGAGATCCACCATGCTGTAGAGAGAAAAAGGCACACATACTATTGCAAACACGCCTTAGAAAGTATTTACGTCAAGGAATCCGCCTGTGGAGGTGACAGTATCCCTGCAAGATTCTCCAATGCAGCTCTCCCGATCACCTCGGGCCATGCACCCGCAGCGTACAAACACCTCAGCCGCTGCTGGCACGAGTGGTATCTCGTCTGCACCCTCCTAGAAGCAGTTATGAGGGCTTTAAAAGCTTTTTGTGACCCCACTAGTTCCCGAACGAAAGAAGCCAGTGTCCACGGTCACTCTAGGGAAGCCCGCGAACTAGTACTTTTAGACGCACTGACAGGAGAGGCGTTTCGATTCCCGTTTCCTGTCAGCCCACTTGCGCGTCCCAGCTGCAGGGGACCAGATCGAGGGCATGTTCATCCAACGGAGGAACCAGAGGCGTGCTTCTGGTGGAATCTTGAAAATTACGTGCAACAGCTCATCGCCAGTCTTCCTTCCCTTGCTCCTGTAGAGGAGTCTACAGGGAGAAAGGTTGACAAAGCTGAACTACAACGAAAGGACTCATCCAGAATAAAGGAACCCCATAGATACCTCTGCTTCGTGGAGGCCACAGGCAGGACCCTCTCAGCCGAAGCAGCAGCTGCAGCAGCGTGGCAGGCAGGCAGCATCAGCAGCAAGAGACGAAATATCCGTGTTCAGTCAAATGGGCCCCTCTCGTTAATTCTTCTCCGGCCGGAGGTACTTTCGTGTTTGGAGCATAGCAGCCGCAGTCCAACTGTTGCAGCAACCGTTTTATCTACAAGTTTTGCAGGTGATAACGATGGTGCAAACACTGCAGCAACAGCAACTGTTGTTTCAACACAGTTGTCATGCCCGTCATCCCTTATAGCCCCCAAGGCTTTCACGACTATAGTGGTAGACGAAGAGAGAAAGGAGCCTGTCAGAAAGCATCATATTACTTGCAGTGTGCTGCCAACCGCCGGAGGAGGCGACTTTACGACGTGCAGAGGGGCTAGTATTGGGGAATTTTCGACTATTCCTGGTGCTGTTGAGGACGACAGTAGCAGTGGTCTCGCTTGTGCATGCAACACTGCAGGATACTTCAGTTTCCCTTCAGCTAGCATGCAGCAGCGGTTGGTAAGCGGGGAGCTCAAGGCTCTGCGGGCGGCTGCGCTGTTGGATGGCGACGCCTCGTTCAAGGTGTTTGGCAGTAATGTTGCTGCCGCTGCTCCCTTGCTTTCTGCTTCTCGCGATGCAGCAGCTGTAGCAGCGGATCTGCATATGCGGCTCAGGCGACAGCGGGCTGCAGCAGAAGTCATCGCGCGGGCGCTGCTAAGGCACGCAGAGCTGGCGCTCAAGTGGTCTGAGGCGTTGCAACTGAGGGTGCAGCAGCAAGGAAAAGCTCAAGAAGGCGTCATTGCAGGTTTCGAGGAGCTTGTGCTGAAGCTGCAGCAAACACCTCTCGACCCAGCACTGCTGCTGCTGCAGCAGCTCAAGCATGATGATTCTTCACATCGGCCCCAGGAACAAACCGAGCATGCAAGTAAACCTGCCGCATGTGATTCGACAGGTCGTCAGAATCACAGAGGCTCACACCGAAGGGAAGAGTCGGGTGCAGTCGCCGTAGCTGCTGTTGCTGCTGGCGTGGATTCAGGAAGGCCACAGAAAGTGGTTGCATCAGGTAGAGGAACGCCGAGGGCCCAACCAGATGCAGAAGCGGCATCAACAAAATCAACAGCAGAAGCACCCTTAGCAGAGACAGGAAGTCTGGCTGGGGGGAGGTGCAGTCCTACAGATATGGACTCAGGCAGAGACCTCTTCACAGATGCATTTCAGTCGCCAGACATTGTTTCCGATGGAAGTGATACTGTCCAGCAACCCTGTATGGGAACATCGGCTGTCTCAGAGGTCTCTTCTGGTTCTCTTGCTTCAGCACCAGCAGCAGCAGCATGCGCACGGTCAACGCCAGCAGTAGCAGCGGTGGGCGCTGTCGCCTCCTCTCTTGGTGAACAAGGGCCCCCAAACACTGAAGGCCTAATAGAGCAGCAAAAACTGGCAGCGGGGAGTACAGCCAACGTAAAGGAAATATCGTATCCTGCTACTGCAGTTATAGCGTCAGCTGATAGCCCTCTAGGTAAAGGTGCGGCACAACACTGCTGGATCGAGGGTTCTCACGGAGGCGCAGCAGACGTCGTTGATGTTCTCGCTGCAGGCGCATGTACCAGGAGATACCACAGAAACCCGGTGGGGACAGCATTAAGGAATGCAGATGAAGTAGTGAAACAGAAAAGACGTTATACAGAGGGAGAACCCTTAAAGGGTCTGGGCACATGGGTTACCTCCCCGTCCTTCCGGGCAGCACAGCCAGGGCCCCCTACTGAGACAACGGAATTTGACACGAACAGGACAGCCCGCGTAACAGTGGCTGCCGCAACTACAACAGCAGCTGCGGGTGACAATAGAACGGTTGTGTGGCCATCGGCAGCTTCATTGCTCGATGTCCCAGCCATTCGTGCATTCGCAGAATCGGTGTTTGCAGACCGCGCTGCAGTGCTACAGCAGGTGGAACTGCTGCAGGAGGAAATCCGTACAGCCGCAGCTACATTTAGGGCTGAAGCCTATGGCCTGCTTGCGGCAGCAGACGAGACAGGAACAGCCCTTTCGACGCTGCTAGGCGAGCAGCAGGAATTGACAGCAGTGCACACAAGAGCGTTTGCCGCAGTTGTTGCTGCAACTCCAGCACCACCCATCGCGTACTCTCGCTTTGCTCCGGAGCAGCTGCGGGCTCTTGCAGCGGATCAAGGAGCAGCGATGGAGGAGCTTCAGCAGCTTGAGCAGAAGCAGAAAGCCCTCACAAAGGAACAGAAGCAGGCCTGGATACAACACTGCAGTCAGCAGTTGGAGCTCTTATGTTTTTGCCTTAGAGCTCGGATTCTGCTGCGGCAGTACCACAAGCAGGGCCTCGCATATAGCAGTAAAGCCCAGCGTGTCAATGCAGCTCTTCTGCAGCTCCGACGACTGTATGCATGCCCCGCTGTCTTTGCTGCAGCAGCTCGAGAGACCATCCGCCGCCTCATTTTTGCTGCGTCCATCCGGAAGGCCGCAGAGACCGCTCGCGCAGTGCTGCAGCGCATGCAGCAGCAGGAGCAGCAGCAGCGGCTGGCGTTTTTGGAATCTGCTGCTCCATCTCTTCCTGTTGCTGTGTTTTGGCCCCTGCTACGGGTTGCCCCACATGAAGCCCACGTGACGGTGCCAGAGATAGACGAATCGCTCATCTCTATCGTAGATCCGTCAGCGCTTACTTCGGTTCTGGAGGAGGCGCAGCAACAGAAATACGGCAAAGAAAGGGAGCAGCAAACCCGACAGCAGCAAGACGACCGGGTGCTGCTGCGGGCCTTGCTACGATCCGAACTTGCAAGGAGTCACCAACGCTCTGGAAATGACACAGACAAGCGCCAACAACAACAACAACGACAGCAGCAATAACAGTAGCAAATGCAAGCATGGGCGCAGCAGGAGCAGTTCCGTCTCCTTCAGGAGAGCGAGCATGCCCTACTGGGCCGATCAGCGGGCCCGCAGATTGTGCTGCACTGCGGTGAGGAGCAGCACCAGCAACAGCATCAAGAATAACGACAGCAGCCGGCTACCCCGCAGAGCGTATACGGGGACACAACAGCTATGTATTGGAAGGTGCATCAGCCATGCAACGAGGTGTCGCAGAAACAGAAACCATTCGGCGCCGACGTTCGGGACCCACAATAGCTTACAACACAGCAGCTTACAAGGTCCCATCGTATAGAGAAGCAGCAAGTGAGAGACCGACAGCGGCAGCAGCGGCAACAAGACCAACAACAACAGCACCCGCTGCCGGCAACCTTAGTGCAGCTTCCCGGCTCCCTGCAAGTGCTTGAGCAGTTACGACCTGCGCCGTTGTCTTTCAAGAAGATTCAAACCGAGCATTTTCGTGGAAATTCAGCCACAGCGTGTCCCACCGAAGAGGCGGATTAAGCGGGGCTGCATGGGGGCTGGCCTATCAGGAGATGCTGCATCAGGAACCGCGAGTGCTGCCACTGCAGCAAAACACCTGCCTTGGGGAAGGTGTTTTGCTGCCACTGCAGCAAAACACCTTCCCCAAGGTTCGTTCAGGCCTAGTTCGACGAAAGGACACACAGCCGTGCAGCAGGTCGGAGCTGTCTCAGCGGGATCGGCTAAAGGAGCATTCGTTTTGCAAACAAGGGCTTAGGCATTTGGTGCAGCAATAGCTTCTTCTCCAGAACCTGCTGGGGCAGGGGCTATGGCAGTTGAATCAGAAGTTGTCGGATGCCCACAGAGCACAGCTTCCCTGCCGCGATAACGGCGTTGAGACATAAGACGGCAACACACTTTTCACTGTATACCAGCAGCATCAGCGCGTGCGCATTGAAGGGCAGCAAGAGCATATCCAGCGGAAGCAATGGTGGAAGGTTCCACGGTGTTTCTTTGGGACGGACGCAGAAGCTGACGCAGCAGAGGAGTTTTGCAGCAACTAGCGCAGCACCGGCGAGATCGTGAGCAGCTGCGCGAGTAACAGAACCAATAGTTTTTGCAACCCCAGAATTTGAGCCCTGCGGGCTTGCTTTGGCAAAGCTTAGAGGTGCCGTTGCATCCGGTGTACGCAGCGTTATGCAAGGTTTAGCAGCAGCTGTAGCACAGGCAACACGTGCAAAGGCAGCAGCTACAACTGCACCTGGAGTAGCAACCGCAGCTATAGCAGCAATTGGAGCTTCACGTTCGGGCGAATTCCTTCAGCTACGCCGATGTGCGTCATTCGTGTAAGCCGTGACACAAGCTAGAGTCGACAGTAGAACAGCAGCGGACAGGGAGTTGTTTCTTTGAAGACCGCCGGAGACAGCACAGACAAGAGGGGCATGGTGGCGCGTCTTGCCCCATGATTCAGCAGCATCAACGGGGGCGACAGCAGCGAAAGCATATAGTGCTATAAACCGAGCAGCATCGTATACTGCTGCTGTTGAATCACTTGCGGCAGTCGCCATTCGCAGTTAAGGGCTGGAAATGGAGATGGAGGGAAAACAATTCTGTGTGCACCACGGCATTGGACAACAGGAGCTGCTGCGTTTTATGCAGACGCTAAAACAGACAGCAACACTTGCATATCAACGGAACGACTTCAAGTGTCCCTTCAGAGGTCCCCATCGCGTCGCTGGTGATGCAGGACTCTGAAGTGCCTCGTAGCCTGGCCCGAGAGCAGGGGAGATAAAAGCCTGATGACAGCCACCTGGTTTGGGGTATCGTTCGCCTACAGTCACAGGGACAGCGCCTGCTGGATCACCAACAACACCAGCAGCGGTGTTGTTGCAGCAGGAGCATCGATTGGTGCAGCAGCTGGCGGAACAGAGGTTGCTGCAGAAGCGCGAGCGAAGGATGATGTAGCAGCAACGCTGGAGGCTCGCACAGCAGAAAGAGCAACACAGCAACAGAAGGCTACAGCAGCTGCGCCCAGAAGGTTCAAGCAGAGCCAAACAAGATCTGCTAGCAGATGCGGCAGCTGCTGCATCTGTCAACCGCACAGCTAGTGGTATGGGCTGACGCTGGAGCTGGACCTTCCGTGGTATGAGTTGGACGCCTGGGACGCTGTGCCGTTGCTACTGTTGGCGCTGGTGTTGTTGATGCCTTCCTCCCTCGTATGTGCTTGAAGGAAGTGCCCTAATGGTGTTTGCGGCCTAGCCTGTTGGCTTCCCCTTCTTCTGTTCTATGAACTCATCTGCCGCAGCTTTAGTCAGGCGCTGGCGCAGGTCGCGCTGCTGCTCTCTGGCCCTGTCCCACTGGACCCTTAGGATCGTTTTTCCGGAATGCCCGGGCACGGAACCCCTTACTAGGAGCGCGTTTGTCTTGAGATTGAGACCCAGGAGCAGCAAGTCTCGGACAGTGCTGCTCTGTTTTGGATCTCTCCCAGCCATCCGCGTGCCTGGAAGAACCCGCCCGGGATCCGTTCCCGCCCCCACAGATCCCGGCCCCCGGTGGTGCTTCGAGCCGTGCGTCGCGGGACCCCTGCACGAAGAGTGCCACACACTGAACTGGGCAGGAATATACGCATGCGCAGCTGGACGACGCTGCTACGGGGTTCCCTCGTGCTGCTGCAGCCGCTGCCTGGCGTGGATCGCTGGAGGCAACTGCAGCCGTAATGCGCGACGAGGGGATTGCACCACGCGAGCCCACGGGAGGAGACCGCCAAATTCTAGGTAGACAGTGAAGGAGAAACAGCGAGGAGCAGCAATCCCTTAGGCGCCCGCCTGTCTGTTCCGCGGACACCCTTCTCACGAGCAACAGCTCACTGGAATATCAGCGCATAACTCACTGGCTCCCACCTACTCTGGATACATACATATATACAAATATACAAATATACGTATTTTGTCTTGTATACCAGACTGCCACCTCTGCAGCTTGTATTCTGCTTACCCCTTAAAGCCGTGACGTTGCATGACGCCCTCAAATCCTTTCTTCTTCGGGCGTCCCTTGACGGTCACGCGGGCAGCCCCCACCAGGGCAGAGGCGTCCAGAATCTGTCCCAAAACATAGTCTGCTGCCGGTTGTACGTACACCGCAGCAAATGTGCTGCTGCCAACACTACCGGTGCTGCGCCCCCCCGCCGTGCTCGTCCCTACCCCACTGCTCCCCACACGCTGCAGCACCCCCAGCACCGACCGCCGCAGAAAACGGTGGTTGTGCAGCGGGTCTTCTGAGCAGCAACACATTCAGATCAGCAACAGCACTGGAACACGCCCACTGGAATGAAAACATGAACCTCACAGGCTACCCAGATGCCCCGCCTACACATGCACTCCCGTTACTGCCACAAGGAACAGCTGCAGCATCCAGCCTCTGCTCGCTGCACCACATGCAACAGCATGCATCCAAGGGCAACCGGCGGGTCCTGGAAAGGCCCCAAGCCCTATGTCCTAAAGCGCCTGCTGCGACTCTCACCAAATGCCACGAGGGCTTTTCCGTACTCCAGGAACTGCACGATGGTGGCAGGTAGTACCTGAAGCAGTGTGGCGGGTACTGTACTGCCGTCCGAGGCAAAGACGGACGTCATGGCCACCTTCTGGGCAAGCACCTCTATCTGTACGTACACCCCAACAACTCGCTTGCTCATACTGGCATTCATTTGCGAGCCTGCTTGCGGGGCTGTACCCAATACCCAAACTAAGGGCACTTAACGACCACAGAAATATCAGCAGCACGTAGCACCACAAGCAGCAGCGCGTAAATGCACCTTGGGTTTCAGGTCCGGCCACGACGGCGCCTCCACGTCTGGGCGAGGTTCCTCCGGGTCCCGCACATTCAGAAACTGCAGAAGCAGGCCAACATTCGGAAGCCCCTTGCATCAAACATAGCTAGCTACCTAGATGAAGAGCTAGCTGGATAGTCAGCTAGCGGCGACATGGGTGTGGCTGAGCACCTGCACTTACCTTCCGGACCCACATCCTGGTCCCTCCTGAACGACGGCAACGGCTGCTGCCTGCGCAGATGCTGCTGCTGCAGGCATCAGTATACGAGGAGAGACTCTGGTGTTGATGCGCTGTGTTATCCCACCTTGCTTCAGCATGGTAACACCTGTTGCCACTGCAGCTGCTTACTGAAGTTAGGGGACTCAGAGGCCGCAGTATGAACGCAGGTGTAGCAGACCCCCATCTCCTCTTTGCCCAGTTGGAGTCAGTTGCCAGCGCTAAAAGGCTGCACTTTGGCAGTGTTTCCGGTAGGAGGAGCGGCAGCAGCAGAAGCAGCAGGACCTGCAGAAGGAACTGGCGCTGCTTATTGTAGCTGTACGGGACGAGCTGCATAGCGGCGGCACGCAGGCTTCATGGCGCCTGCTTGGCCATCTTCCCATCGCTGCTGCCTATCCCGCTGCCGCCGCTTGGACTGGTGCAGCAGTAGATAATGCTGCTCATACGACGACTGGGCCAGCCGGTGCACCGCTCCAGTCTAGAGTTATCTGCTGTTGCTGCACCTTGTGCAGATGCTGAAAGAGATACAGAAGCGGCAGCAGGTGTTTCTGTTTCTGGAGGGACAACTGGGGACAACTGGGGCTAGAGTTGTCGAAAGCCGATCTTATGGGGGGGTAGGTTTCTAGCATAGGATCGTCGGGTCCATGCTGCTGTACTGTCTTCCTCTCTTTTGCTGGCCTAAAGTCCCTAAAATCCATTCGCGTTAGCTCGTCTAAGCTAAAATTCCTATCACTTTTGTTGGTTCGGTGCAAGTGTAGTGGCTGCTGCTCGTGGCTTACCCTCCTGCGGGCCCCAGGGGAGCCCCAAGCCGCTGCTCACTGCATGCGGAGAGGAGCAGTGCTCTCATTAGAATTGTTCTCGACGAAATCAGTAGCAATAGTAGAGGGGATTTAGTCGATATGGCTGCCTTTTTGTTGCTGCTGGCGACCGCTGCTTCCCGCTGCTGCTGCTGCTGCTGCTCTGACGGGCTCGCCTGTGTTTGCTGAAGACCGTCTGGCGCGATCAGCAGGAGCGCGGGAAAGAGTAGCAGCGGCAGCAGCAGCGGCTGCTGCCGCCGCTGCTGCTACTGGAAAGAGGAGGGCGTTACGGTAAGCAACAACACGTCCGCGGGCGAGCGCGGTGCCGCTGTCCTCTGCTGCAGCGGACACCGGTATACATCCCCTCCCGACGTCTGCAGCAGCAGCAGAAGCATGGTGGGCCCAACAGCGGCGGGCACCCCCCGGGGGCCTGGAGCGTCGAGTGCCTCTTCTGGAGCAACAGGACCTGCACCATGCGCGGTTGATGCCGGTGTAACTAGCAGCAGCAACTCCCGGAACAGCAGCAACAGTTGCAACGGACTTGCTTCATTTAAATCTGTTCTTCCTCTAGAAGCTTCTATTTCGGACATAGTGCATCGAATCACGCAGGAAGTGCTCCAGCCTATCCTTGTCCCTTCGCAGCAGCCCTCCCCCCCTTCTCCTTTCACGTTCACGCATCTGGACCAGCTGCAGCAGATGCTCCAGCAGCGGTGTTCGAGCAGCAGCAGCAGCAGCACGGGCACTCCGGGTCGTCGAGCGGCAGGCGGTGTTGCGGCAGCAACAGCTGCTTGCCGCGGCAGCGGCACTGCAGCAGCAGCAGGAGGGTCAACAGCAGGGGGCTCCGTACCAGGAGGAGGAACACCATTGGGCTCTCGGTCGGAGTTAGGCGGAGCTGTTGAGAACTTATCGTTCCCTTCTGCGCAGCCTCCAAGGTGTATAGACAGCCGTTCTCTTCTGGCGCTTGTGCCGCATGATGGGCGGCTGCTGGGCCAGGAGGCCTTAGCAGGGTTGGCTATGGCGGTTGCTGCTGCTCTCAACACGGTGCAGCTAATGACGCCTGAAGAGCGGCTTAAGTGTCGTCTTCTGCCTCCAGACCGTTGTTACGAGACGAACTACAGGTGGGTGGCTCCAGGGCCACCGGCAATGGGACATGCATGCACGCCTGGGAAATTCAGGGTTCCTGGTGCCGACATCTCCATCCTGCCGCTGCAGCTGCTTGTTATAGCTGTGTACTGGGTGGAAAGAGAGGGTTCTATGTTCTTTTGGCTCGTGCGTGCGGCTACTTGCGTAAGAAGGGGTGCAAGCTTCGCGGACACTCCTGCAGCAGCTTGCATGCACGTCTGGTGCAGGTGGAGCGTTTGTGGGAACTCTTTTGTACGCGTGCACCAACAGCGTTGCTGTTGCATGCGTGTGCGCATGCATGCAGTAACGGCTTGCTGCGTGTGTTTTGCATGCAGGGAATGGCGAGACTTTCTGCTGCGGAAACAGCCGACGGGGGCATCTCTGAGTTGTGTGTTCGGCAGAGGGATGCTGCGCTCCTTGCTACTGTGTTGCTGCTCTTCTCTGCTGCGGGATATCATGGGGGGCCCTCTTGGTTTCTGCTGCGCTGCTGTATTCCACCGCTTGTGCGACGAGGCCAGCCTCAGCCTGCCTGCGCGGCAGGCGGCACTGCAGTCTCTGACGACTCAAGACCCCAGGCTGGAGGTACGGGGTCTTTCTGAGACCTTCAACTATGGTTGCTGTTGCTTCTGCTGCGGCGTGTGTTCTTTCGGGTCCCGTCTGTTGTTGCTGCTGGCAATGCTGTTGTCTTGCTTTTTTTTGGTGTTCTCGCGCCTCTAGCGGTGTGCCTGTATGGTGCAAGTTTGATATTACTAGCGGCTGCTAGACCTGCGCGGGGGAAGCCGTCAATGGGGCTCGGGACCCCTTGACTGCAGCAAGGTGCAGCAAAGCAGCCGCTGCAGCACCAGCAGCACAACCGTTAAGGCGCGACTCAGCTGATGGGCAGTGGCACCTTTGGCGGTTTACGGTTCAGCGTTCAAGGTTGAGGGTTGGCCTTCGACAGGCACAAACGGTGGAAGACGTTTCAATTGGGCTTTTGCATGATCTTTTTCTGGGTGTTTCTGCTGCAAGCGCAGTTGAGTGTGTGGAGCTTGGTGGTTGCGTTTGCTGCAGTCGCTTCTAGTGTCGGAGTCAGGATTGGGTTTCTTGAGCCGGGACTTCGGCTCTGCGAGGGAGGAGCAATCGGGGCTGATTTCTTTTGCATGCCTGACCAACGACCGGCAACCGCTGCACTCCATGGCGTTAGTGGCAGCTAAGAACATTTTCTCCCGCCAGCTCCCGAAGATGCCTCGTGAATACATTGTCCGCCTCGTCTTTGACCGCAATCACTACACCTTTTGCCTCATCAAGCAGCAGCAAATAATCGGAGGCTGCTGCTTCCGACCCTACTTCAAACAGGCACGCGTGCTTCACACGCCCTAATAGCTCAGGTGTACAGACATATGATGATGGATAAGTTATGCTTTTTTACCACAACTCCGTAAATTAGGTGTACATGCAGGCATACAGACAGACACAAGCGGCTGGTGGGGTGGTGAATATACACGCATGTCTGGGGTAGATATGCACCTAAAGTTATAATGTACTTGATTGGCAGGGCGCGACATATCAGCTGCACGAGTGGCTTTGGGGCCCTGCGTTACATGCGTGCATTTTCCTGTGTATGCACTGCGTGCAGAAATTCGCGGAAGTCGCATTTTTAGCGGTGACCTCAGCCGAGCAAGTGAAGGGGTACGGCACGCGCCTCATGAATCACCTTAAAGAGCACGTAAAGAAGAGTGGGATCGAGTACTTCCTGACCTATGCCGGTAGGCCGCTAAACACTAAAACCTAAACAACGAGGAGATGTTTACGGTAGAAGCAGCAGACAGATTTTTTGAGGCTGGTGGCTTTTTTGCGCCTTTCACATGTGCGTCTGTGGTTGCGTGTGTGTCTTGGGTATTTAGACAACTTCGCTGTTGGTTATTTCCGCAAGCAGGGGTTTACTCAGAAGATATCGATGCCGAAGGAGCGGTGGTTCGGGTTTATTAAGGACTACGAGGGGGGTACGCTTATGGAATGCCGGATATCCCCGAAGGTCGACTACTTGCGCTTATTTGCAATCCTTAATGACCAACAGGAGGCGGTGCAGCGAGCAATATTGAGGCTGAAGCCCCCGCGGGTGTTCCCTGGTCTTACATGCTGGCAGGTGAGTGTTGGTGAGACCACCCTAATGAGGTGCAGCTTAGATCTTGAGGAATGTGTGAAGTGTTGTGTTGTGTAGCGTGGTGGGGGCAGCAGGAGGTGTTGGGTGCCGGATTGTTTCTTATGCAGGAAGACCCAACGCGCGTGCTGCATCCGTCCGAAGTACCTGGAGTGCTGGAGTACGGGTGGACTCCCCAGGCGACTGCAGATGCGGCAGGAGAAGGTGCAGCAGCTACGCGACCGCTGCACGAGCAGATCGTGCAGGTCCTCGATGTCTTGGCCTGCCACCACAGCGCCTGGCCATTCCAGAGACCAGTATCAACAGATGAGGCCCCTGACTACTACGAAATCATCGCCCAACCTACAGATATCTCTACCATGAAGAAAAAGGCCAAAAAGGTACAACTGATGCATATCTTTGAAACACACACGCACACACACATACATACATACACACACGGGTATCTTCCTCTGAAGCATGCAGACACAATAAGCTTGAAAAGCATATGCGTATACACGCGTAATATACACATTCATTGCTAACACATATGCCTTTGAGCCGCAACAGTTGTACTCGCTTTGCGTTGTGTTTCCCTGTAAAGAGGATTAAGAGCTAGGCCCCGTGCAGCAGGAGCAGCTGGTGCTGTTGCTGCTGCTGCTGGAGCAGCAGCAGGCTTTTCCGTTGGGGTTTCTGGCGCTGCCGGGCCAAGGTGTATTGTGCCCCACTTGGGACTAAATGGGGAAGGCTTTACCTTGTTAGCTGCCGCAGATTATGTACTGTGCCAGGGGAGGTTAGAAGTTTGTTGTGATGCTCCATCTGCTGCTGCTGCTGTGCAGAAGCAGTTCCCAAACAAGGCGGCGTTTCTGTCGGAGTTGAGTCGAATGTTCGCCAACTGTCGGCGATACAACGCGCCCTCAACGATTTACTACAAATATGCAAATGAACTTGAAAAATTCATCTGGCCTAAAGCCCTCCAAATTCAAGACACCCAAGAACCCGCTTCAGCAACCGACGCCTCTCGGTGATCCGCTGTGGTAACGGAGCTGCAGCTACTGGTGTGCAGCCTGGTGGAGGGAGCGCGGGCAAGGGGCCCCTGGGCCTCAGGAAGGAAGAGTCTGGATGTGCTGAGAGACTCACAATTTGATTTACACCACCGAATCAACGCGCGCAAGAAGCTCATTGCTCTCTTCGTTGTAAAAACCCCGCCAACTCTTCGGGGAACTCAGGCGTTCCTCAAGTTGAGGCGGCTGGGCAGTTGGCATCGCGCCTCCAAACGCCAAAACGCAATTTATTTTACCACGATTTTAGTTTGTTTCATCCGCATGCAAATGGATGCTCCCCTCTCCATCTCATCACTCCTGAGCAGTAGCAGCTGGGGGGCTCAAGACAACAACACACGGATAGACAGGCTAGCTAGCTAGCTAGCCTGTTAGCTAGCTAGCTGGCTAGCGGGTTTGCTAGCTAGCTAGTCAGGCTGCGGTAGCACTTCCTCAGACCATCATTCCTTGGGCAGTTCGACACTGCAGCGCCGGAGCCGAGCCGTTCACTTTGGTTGGTCTACATGCTGTCGTCACAGTGTAGTACTTGCATGCATTTACCTATTCTACATGTGTGTGTACTCCGCAGTCTTACTTGCGCATACAGCATGCAGTGAAGAGCCTCGCCTATCGTGAGGCCCATTTATACACCAAACAAGGAGCAGCAGGGCTCTCCCTGTATTTGCCTGCGAGCAGGAGACATACACTTATCTCCTCACGTATGCAGGCTGGACAATCTCAGGGCCAGAGGAATGTTCAATGCATCTTTACGATGCTAGTCAATTCATCAAGCAGATTCTCGGGGTGGTAGCTGCTCGTTGAGGTCTGCCCTCCTACGGTACGGGATGCTCTAGAGAGCGGTAGAATCGGCCGCTCGCCCATCGCCCCATGCAATAGAGCGGCGGAACTCAGGACACCTGGGAACTGAAGTGAGGTAGCAAACTGCTTCTAGCGGTTAGTATCTAAAGAATTACGGTCTTCCAGAGCCAATAGTGTTCTACGCTAAGGTGGGGACGTCATGTTACCCACCTTCTCGGGCACTTGACCCAAAATGGACACACCTCAACTGCTGTGCTCAAGCGAAGGCCAACCAGGAAACAAAAACCAGATAACACTCTTAAATACAGGCCAGTCACCCACCGGTGGCGTAGCGACACCTTAAGACGCACCGCTCCCTGGCGTGTGAGAAGGCACAGCCGTTGGAAACTCAGCGAAACCCCCACAAAACGTAATTACATTATAATTTAAAGAAGGAAAACAAAACGCCTTTTCGACTCGATACACCCCAAAGGTGTGCCGCTAACACGAACAACCCGGTGCACGCCGGCACACTTCTCCACTCTTAGCTTCCTTCTTCCCTTCAGACGGGGATATCTACGGAATACAGTAACAAAACCAACCACTTCTTTCAACTGGTTGGAGCACCGGTGCAGACGAACAACACAGCAACAGCGCAGCGCATGCGACTACGCCCGCTGCCAGCAGCAGCAGCAGCAGCACCACCGGCAGCAGCGGGAAGCTATGTTGGCCATAGATGATGTTTGGTGGTATTTGCCGTCGCATGTCACCTTATAGCTGCAAAGAGAAGAGGACGAGTGGCAAGTTACAGCAGCATCAACACCACCACCAGCTGATCTCGTGTTGCAGCACAAGCCGCCGCGGAACTACTGCTGGCGTGTTTAACCCAACTCCCGGGATCGGCATCTTTAACGTGCAACACAGCTGTGAGCTGCGGCAACAACTCGCTGCAGTGGCCTCTTCAAGACAGTGCAACAGCAGCAGAAGCAGCACAAGTGCGGACACCATTGGTACCTGTTTGCCCTGGAGCAGCAGGTTTTCCCTTTGGCAGCAGCAGCAGCAAATGCAGATTCCGTCGCTCCGACGAGGCTCAACGAGCTGGGCGCAGATGTGCGGCTGAATCGCAGGGCGGCACAGCAGCAGCGCAGCCGCTGCGCAGCAACAACACATCATGCTAGCCCCTAAGGTTCCTGCAGCGGCCACATGGGAGATTCAGATGATGCGGGGGAGCCCCAGTGTGCAACGGGGTCGCAACAAGAACAGCGACACCACCACCACCACCAACAGCCGCAACAGCTGCAGCCGCAACAGCTGCAGCCGCAACAGCTGCAGCAGCAACAGCTGCAGCACCAACAGCTGCAGCAGCAGCAGCTTCAGCAGCAACAGCTGCAGCAGCAGCGAGCGCCTTTGTTCCGTAGCAAAAGCAGCTCCAGCTCATTTGGGGAAAGTTACACCTACCCGTTGCCACTGCTTTGCCCTCTCACTCAGCTGCCTCAGTTGCAGCACCAGCAAGGACAGCAACAGCATCAACAACAGGAGCAGCAGCAGCAGGATGACCAGCCTTATGTTTCTCTCCGATCGTCTCCAGCGCCAGTAGGGGATTTGCAGCAGCAGCTGCTGCTACAAACTACGCTGCTGAGGCAGCAGACTTTCAGCCCATGTACCATGGGCAGCAGCAGCAAATTGCTGCAGCAGCAACAACCGGGACGTCGTTCTGTTGTCCCATCCGCTTCAGCAGCCGCCTCATACTCACTGAAGCGGTCTGTTGCTGCAGGATTTCCTGCTGCAGTGGCAGCAGCATCAACCTCACCAACAGCAACAAGACACAATGAAGCGACGGGGGTTGCGCCGCGCCTTGCTGCGACCACAGCAGACTCAGCGCAAGCAGCATCAGCAGCAGCCGTGTTTAACAAGATGGATCCCTTGGATAGGCCTGCTCCGTTGCAGGACGCAACAGCAACAGTTGCTGTTTCCTTAACAACAGCAGCAACGACTACAATAGAGACAGGAGGGCCGCTAGAAGCTGCTGGTGCTTTCCCCGCAGTGAATCAACCAAAGCCACACGCGCCTCTGGGTCAGCTAGGGTCCATGCATAGCACTGCAGCAGGTGCAGCAGCAGCTGCTGCTGAATCAACAGCAGCAACAGTGGCTGCACCTGTCGATTCCCCACAGTCGGATTACACCAGTCCTTCCTCCTTGCAGCAGCAGTTGTTGCAGCGGCAAGCACTGCAGCAGCAGACCCCCCTGCACGTTTCATCGGTGGAGCAGCAGCCGGTGCCTCTGCAGCAATCATTGCAACAGCAGCAACAGCAACAGCTTCGTCCGTCTTTGCCCGTCCCTGCTACGCCCCCCCCGCAAATATGTCTAATAGGGTCTCGGCTGCTGGCTATGAGGAGCCCGTGGGGGCTCTCAACATCTGGGGTACTGCAGCGCAATGGCATAAATGAGTTGCTGCTGTACCTGTCTGTGCTGCAGTCGCTGCTGCTGCCTGGCAGATGGGGGGGCCTTATGCCTCTGGGGGCAGCAGACTGTCTTGCGGCTGCTGCAGCTCTCCCAGCAGCAGCAGCAGCAGCCGCTGCTGCCGAAGGTCTCGCGCGCGCTGCTGCAGCAATGGAAACACCCCTCTCTTCCCCACCGGCACAGATACCGTGGCAACAGCAGCAACAGCTGCTGCTACTGCTGCCTCGACGCTTTCTGCAGCAGCTGCCCACAGCAGCAGACGGCTCTTCAGGCCTCACACAACTCAATGGTCTGTACCGACACCTCCGGAGCGCCATCTTGAAGCAGCTGCAGCATCAGCAGCAAACTAGTGCCTGCGGGTTAGAGGAGTCTCTCGTGGCGCAGGCAGCAGAAGCAGCAACTGCTGCTACTGAGAGTGCAGCTGAGTTGGGGTTGCACGGAGAAGATGCAGCAGCTTGGCCTCCTGTTGCAGCTGCCGTCGCTGCTGTAGAGGCGACCGCAGCAGCGGCGGCCTCTGCGGCCTCAGCCGCTGCTGCTTCTACTATGTTTCCGCTTGCTACTACTGCAACGGAAGCTTCCGGAAGCCCGTCGTCTGTTTGGGGAGCTGCAGCAGCAAATCCGTCATCAGCAGCAGCAACAACCGGTGTCTCTGGAGCTGCGTCTGGGGACAGCAGCAGCTTTGAATCAAAGCGCCGTGAGGCGCTGAGGCAGTTAGGGCGTCTGCTGGCATCCCCCCCTGTTATCGTTGTGTTTGATATATACCCCAGAAGCAGCACCCGGAACAGCAGCAGCAACGGCGGCGGTGGCAGCAGCACCAGCAGCGCCCGCTGCGGCATGCCATCCTCCCCGCCCTGCAGCAACAGCACTAGCAGCAGCAGCTTGGCGGCTGAATTCGGGGAGGCCTTTGGCTGGCAGATCCTTGAGTTCAGTTTGACTGAAGTTGGGGCCCCTCCGCTGCAACTGCTGGTGGACTTCTGCTCCTCTCTGAGGTTCTGGCTACAGCTAGATAGACACCTCAACTTGGCCGTTGTGAACGTACACCCCAAGAGCGGCTGCGGAGCTTTGCTGCTGCTTGCATGCGCAGCGATGGGCTGCGGCAGCAGCACGCCAGCAGCAGGCTGGGCCTCTCAGGAGCAGCTTCTGAAGATGCTTGCCAACGCTTCCGTAGCTGCCCAAGACTGTACGTACCCTCCGATAACTCAAAAGGCGAACAACAGCAGCAGTAGTAGTAGCAGCAGCAGCGCCGGTAGCAGCAGCAGCCAGAGGGGAGGGGGGGTGCTCCACTGGAAGCCTGCTGACCGCTGGCCGCCTTCTTGTCGCCGCTACCTGACCTACTTCGAGAGTCTGCTGCGCCAGTCCTCTGTGCGCTTGCTACGCTGCTGTTGCTTCTACTGCTGTTGCTGTCCTTTGCTTTACCGAGAATTGGCTGTTGCTGTCGCTGCTGAAGTTGATTTGCGGGTCTGGCTGGTGCTTCTGCCTCTTCTGGAGTTTTGCTGCAGTCCTTGCACTTGCTGCTTTTTGCTTCCCGTCTCTATCCTCTAGGGAACGTTACGTACCTGCAGCTCTGCTGCTGCTGTTGCTGCTGCTGCAGGGTCGAACCGTCGGGGAAGAGGCAGCCGGCGCCAGACGGGCTGCGGCTGCGGGTGTAGAGACGCGAGTTGTCCGTCTGAAGAATTTGCTGGTGGATCACTTTGCTGCTCCCGCTGCTCTTATTGCTGTAGAGGTGTATGAGCTCTCCACTTGCTGTTGCTGCTGTAGTGGGTGTTGCAAGAAGGACGATGCTGCTGACCCCGCAGGCGCCCTTATCCGCCATCTCGCTCACAACACATACACACTGACAACTCACAGGACGCCCGCAGCAGCGACAGCAGCCACAGCAGGTGCATCTATAGACAATTTTCCTCTCGCCCACCCTCCACTGCTATGCGGCAGCAGCAGCAACGGGAACAACAGCCTTAACAGCAACGGCCCTGAATCAGAAGGATACATATCTACCCAGCGGCTGCTTCCTGTTGCTGCCTCACAGAAGCTGCATTCTCAGAAGCAACAGCCACAACGCCAGCAGCAGCAGCAGCAGGAGGATGGAGTGGGGCGGTCGCAGCGGAAGGGGATTGCTGGATACTGGTTGAAGCAGCGCACGAGCGGACGGCCCCAACAACAGTGAGGCGTGTAGCTCCGATTAGCTGCAGAGTGGCTGTCGGTGCTGCGGGATGCTGGTGCTGTATTTGCTGCTGCTGCCGGATTTGCTGGTGCTTATGCTGCAGGTCTGAGGGCCACAAAAGCGAACGCACGGAGAGCCACCCATATTTGCAGGCGCTGCGGGAGCAGGCGCGCCTGCTTCCGGACTCTTCATCTGTATCATCGGCGGCAGCAACAGCAGCAGCAGCAGCGGCAGCAGCAATCGAGAGCGCAAGCAGCCCAGATGACGTGCCTTTGTTGCTGGACCCTGGGGGCCCCTTAGGCCACCTCGGGGCTTGCTGCGAGGCCTACGTCTCTTTGCCAGTATCTGCACCCTGCCTCAGCAGCAAAATCGCCTGCTGCTGCTCCCCTGTGTCTGCCCCTACTCATGTGTCTTGGGGTGGGTCGGAAGCAGCAACGGCAGAAGCTCCAACTGCGGCTGCAGCTGCTACGGCTGAAGGCTGCAGCCCAGGCGCTGCTTCAGCGGAGTGGCCAGGATCCCCGGATGCAGCAGATGCAGCAGAGGCTGCCGATGTTGCACTTACTGCTGAAGAGGCTCTCGCGATGCTACAGCATCGGCAGCAGCAGCAGCACATGCAGCAGCGAAGGCTGCAGCAACAGCACCAGCGCCAGCTCCACTCCCACTTTGCCTTACAAGCATGTGCCCAGGACTACCAGCTAATGGCTGCAGATACCCTTCCGGTGCGTCTGAGCAGAAGCAGCACCAGCAGCAGTTTGCGCTGCAGCAGCAGCTTTAACGGCGGTAGCTGCATCTGCTACTTAAGTAGCTGAAACAGATGCCGTGCGAAGATGCTGTGTGCAGAGACACTTGCTCAAATATATCTAGACTCAGATTTATTGAACGAGTGTCTCTGCTTTCGCAGCGGTTCCTGCTGCAGCCGCAGATGGAACTGCAGCAGCAGCAGCTAGAAGCGCTGCTGCTGCAGCAGATGGTGCAGCAACAGGCGTAGCACGAACAGCAGAAACCCATTGGGGCAGTAGTTCCACGTGCTGTGGACTAGCTGCCACTCCTGAAGGTGCTGCGTTAAGTGCGTCAGCTGCTGCTGGTGCTGCTGCTGGTGCTGCTCTGTTCAGGACGGGTCGGCGTCAGCAGTGTTTGATTTTGCACATGACAGGAGCGGCAGCAGCCGGCAGTTGTTGCTGTCCGGAGACGTCTTAATTGTCCTGAGACAGCTGGTACCAAGACTCCGGCCTTCCAGAGAAGGGGGGGCAAATGCGGCGGCAGGGGCACAGCACCAGCAGCAGCAATCGAAACAGCAGAAGCAACAACAACAGCAGCAGCACATCTACGCCGTGTATGCCTTCCATACAGGTCTGTCTGCAGGGTCTGCTGCTGCTTTGTGTGGCAACAACAGCATCTGGCTTTACTTGTGCTTGTGCTGCGTTTGGATCAAATTGGTGCCGGTGTTGTTGCTGCTGTTGCTTCTGCTGTGGCTGCGTCAGGGTTTCTGCCCGAAGACCAGTCTGTGGTAGAGCTGCACTTTCAGGACTTCGATTCTCCAGTTCCTCTCCCGCAGCGCCTGCGGGTGTCACTGATTTTCGAGCATGTTGACAGCGTTTTCAGAAGCAGCAGCAGCTGCTGCTGCAGCCCAACAAACAGCACCAGCAGTAGCAACAGCAGCAGCTGCAACAGTGATGGCACCAGCACAACGTACTGCAGCACTACATGCACAGCAACCAAGTCCGATCCACCGCCAATCCAAGTGGGGCTGGCAGATGCTGTTGCTGCAGACCTTTCGCCAACAGCAGCAGCAGCAATAGGTGCTGCTGCTGCTCCGACGGAAACGGGGCCACCTGAGAGAGAGGCTATTCCAGGCAGCAGCAACACGCCTAGTAGCAGCAACAGGCCTCCGCCCAGCAAATCTCTTGTTGGTGGAATCGTATGCTCGTTGCTGCGTTGGCAGCATCCGAGAGACCACCCTGCAGAGCAGCAGACGCGACAACAGCAGCTGCACCAGCAACTGCCTCACCACGAGCCGCAGCCACTAGCATCTCACCGCCTGAGCACCTGCAGCAGCGTGAGCCTCACAGAGACCTTTGCGCCGCCTCTCCCGGGATCTGCAGAGGCAGGAGCAGCTGTAGCAGGAGGAGGCTCCGGCCTCTCTGTCGGTGCAGGCACGGGCTCATTAGCAGCAGCGCTGCAGCGACATCTCCACATAACGCGGCGCCCAACGCCAAGCCGGAGAGACTTTGCTGCGCGGCATTGTCTACAGATCGATCCTGTGAGTTGCTGCTGCATTTAGCCCCGTTGGACCTGCTGTTTGATCCGTGGTGCTGATGCACAGGAACACGAAGTGGTTACAGCAGTGCTGCTGCTGAAGTTCTGCTGTGCGACTCCTGGTGCTTCAGGCGTTGCAGCCGCAGCTACTGCAGCAGCCGGTGTGCAGCAGCACCTATTGTTACACTGGTTGTGCTGCGTCGGTGTTTCTTCTGGCTGTTGCCGCTGTGCTGTGTTACTGCGGAGAGCAGGCCATGCCTTTGAATTTGTGTGTTCCCCTGTGTTGCTGCAGCGACTGCTGCTGATGCTGGTTGAGGCTTCCGGCTGCAGCAGCGACAGCTGCGCTGTGGCTCTGAAACTGTGCAGCAACAACTTTTGCATGGCCTTAAGCCTGGTGTCTTATTACTTTGCTGCTTCCAGCTCTGCTGCTTCTGCTGCGCTGCATCCGTCGCGCCTGCTGCAGCACGCACTTCCTCCCCCTTGGCTGCAGCAGCAGCACCTCTTGCACCGGCAGGTTTCACACTACTTGCAGCTGCGGCGCCAGGAACAGCAGCAGCAGCAACAGGAAGAGGTGCTGCAGCTGGACTCTTCATCATCGCATATCACGTATGCAGCAAACTGTGCAGTGCAGCAACAGCAAGAGCAGCAGCAACAACCACGAAGAGCTTGTCCATCTTTCGACTGGGAATCTTGGAGGGAAGGGATTGTGGGTGGTGCTTTGGGAGGCTCTACTGGGGCCGCTGCACCAGCGCTGCCGGAGCTGCCGCAGCAGCAGCAATGGATGTTGCAGCAGCATCAGTCCCTGCTGCAGCAGCGCCACCCACTCAGCCCCCGTGACCCCAATCGGATTGACCTCTTGCCCCTGAGGAAGGAGCAGAGCGGAAGGCCCAGTCCTGCAGAAGCTGCTGCTGCTGCTGCACATCAGCAACAGCAGCCAGTACACCAGCTAGAGCGCATCCACCGAACGGCTTCTATGAACAGTGGGTCTCCCTCTGTAGGTTTTATCGCGAGAAGCAGCAGCTTCGGGGGCGGTCCCCGGTCGGTGGGTGCAGCGGGGATGCTGGGATCTCCTTCTGCTGGTGCATGTACTGCTGTTGCTGAGGAAGCCGTGGGCGCGGTGTCTTCGTTGGACCCGCAAATGCTCCAAGGACAGCAGCAGCAGCAGCATTACCTCCAGCGGCAGCAACAACACGACAAATCTGCATGCCCATTGGATATGCATGTTCCTGTTGAACCTTTAGTGGCCACAGCAGAGACAGCAAGGCCCACAGCAACGGTGTCTGCTACCCATACCAGTTTGCATGCAGGTGAGTTGGCGCTGCATACAAGCCCAGCTGGGGGCAGATCGGACACTTCACCCAACCCTACTGCTGCTGCTGCTCTCGGGAGCGCGGCTGTCCCCGTAGATGTGCCTCCCGGTTTAGCACCTCCCGCTCATGGTGCTACTGCACCTGAAGATATTGCAGCAGCAGCTGCTGCTGTGGGATGTGCTGAGGGGACAGCAGTGCTTGCCGAACGCGAGTTAGCTGGTGGTGGTGCTGCTGAGGTGACGGCTGGCGCAGTTGCAACACCTGTTGCTGCAGCGCTTGCTGCTGCAGCAGGTGCTGCACCAGCTAACCTGGCAGCTGACGTTTCTGATGTAGGCCATGCTGCTGTATTGGGAACTGCCCCAACACCACCTGCACCCGCAGCTGCTGCGTTGTCATCATTGCCTTGTCTCCCCTCAGCAGCAGAACAGCAGCAACAGCAGCAACAACAACAGCAACAACAGCAGCAGCAACAACAGCAGCAGCAACAACAGCAGCAGGAGCAGCAGCCAGGGAGGGATGAGGAACGGGCCCCCTGTGTGAAGAGCTTGAATGATGGCTCGTCGGTGGCGGGAGCTCGTGATGCTTCAGCAGAGGCTGCAGGGGCAGCAACTACAGCAGCAACAGCCACAGGAGCAACAACAGCAGCAGTAGCAGCAACAGCAGCAGCAGGGCCTATGACTGGGCAGGTCCTTGCTGTGCGGCTCCCCGACGGCCGTCTACTCCATGTGGCCCTTCCCCCCGACGCTGCTGTTACTGGCACACGCACAACAACCGGCGCTGTCGTGCCTGCAGCAGCAGCAACTGTGTTGCGGGATGATGGTGCAGCAGCAGCGGCAGCAGCAGCAACGGGGACAGTACCAACAGCAACGGTTCTCCCGGCGACCTTCGCTGCTGCTCCTACCCAAGCTGCCTCACCTGCTGCTGTGCTGCAGAAGGCCAAGCCACCCGGGCCCCCTCCACGTGGCCTGCGGCCACCTCTGAAGGCGGAGCATAAAACTGCAGCAACAGGGGCAGCAGCAACAGCAACAGCAGTTAAAGCGGCTCCTCCACGACCCAAAGGCAAGGCTCCGGGGCCCCCACCTCCAGGTCGCCCACCTGCAGCAGTAGCATCGAAAGCAGCAGCAACAACGCCATCAGCAGCTGCATCAACAACCGGTACCAAAGCCAGGGCCCCGGGACCCCCTCCTGCTGGGACACCACCGAAGAAGGGCCCCCCAGCAGGGCGTCGGCCTCCACCTCCTAAGGCAGTAGCAGCAGCAAAGGAGAAGTCTGCTGCACCTGAAGCAGCGCTTCCATTAGGTCGAAAGATTCACTGGAAAGCCCTCACGGGGGACAAAATTCACGTACGTCGTCTGCTGCTGTAGCTGCATCAGCAGCGACAACAACAAGCAACAATTCTTGCAGTAGCTGCCACATCTAGTCATACAAGCCACTGTTGTTCCTGCATTGGATAGATAGGGGTCTGGAGGTTACGGGGTGCAAGCTGGAGCATGGGGTCGTAGTGCTGCTGCTGTGGGGTTGCCTAGAGGAGGTGCCTGCCCTTACGAAGCCGCAGCAGGGAACACCAGTAGAAGGAGCAAGAGGTCAATGCCGGCTGTTTTGTCTTCCTGCGCCTGTTTGCAGGGTACGGTGTTCAGTGAGATGCCTGCCGTGGGGCCCTTGGGACCCTCTGCCTTTGTAGACGGCGCAGCCCTCAGCCGCCTCTTCTCCCGCACGCAGCCACCAGCAGCAGCTGCTGCTGCAGCAAAACACCCCACCAAAAGGCCGCAACTGCAACAAACCAAATTTATATCAAGCAAAAGAGCACAAAACGTCGCCATTGTCCTCGCAAGGCTGTCTCTGTCCACGGAGGTATGACTGCTGCTGCTGCTTCCGTTGGCATCCGTTTGTTGCCTTTCGTTAAAGGACCCATGGCCTGTTGCTGTTATTGCTGTTCCTGGTGCCTGCAGGAAGCAGCACAGCGGCTCCAGCGGCTCGATAGCAGCGGGTTGTCTCTCGAGCTGCTTGATCGGCTTGAGCAGGTGTGCCCTTTGCCTGAGGAGCTTGAGAGTTTCCAGTCTTATTTACAGCAGCAACAACAACAAAAACAGCAGCAGGATCGGCAGGAGGTGCCTGAGAGCGTTGCAGGCGGAGTCGCGAGTTCTTTCCCCCCGCTGCGGGATGTGGAAGCAGCAATGCTGCCTCTGGCTCGACTTCCTGCTGTTTCATCTCGCCTTCGAATTCTTCGCTTTGATCTGTTGGCCCCTAAAACGATCCAAGAGTTGGATGATGCCCTCGACCTAGTCGACAAAGCTGCCGAGCAGGTGCGCTACCTGCTGCTGCGCGGCGTGCTGCTGTTGCTGCTGTTGATGCTCCGCAAGGTGTGGCTGATGCTGGTGTCACTGCTGTTGGTCTTGTCGTTTTGCGTGGCGTGTCTTGGATCTGTGGGGAGGGGGGTCACCGTGCACCATTTGCTTTGTTCTTGTGGTATCTGTAGGCCTTGGCTTTAGAGTGTTTTGCGAACTGGAGTTGTGATTTCTTGCATGCAGGGGCGTAGCAGCCGCAAGTTCCGCGTGCTGCTACAGGCGGTGCTGCAGTGGGGAAATTATGTGAACCACGGGGTGCGGCTGGCTGCAGCATCGGAGGAGCCTCAGGCCTCCGAGGGTGCAGCAGCAGCAGCAAAAGCAGCAGCAAATGCTGCTTCTGTCGAATGTCTGCCCACGCGGGGCTTCGCGCTCACTTCTCTCTTAAAACTGATGGAGTTCAGGAGTACAGTAGACAGCCGCCTTAGCTCCTTGCACTACATCCTTGTCAATCTGGTGAGTTCTTTCTGCTACTGCTGCATCTTTTGCTGCTGCGTGTGCGTCTTTTGCTGCTGCCGCGCAAGTGCTTCTGCGCAACAGCCCTTGTGACACCCGCAGCACCGGCCGCGAAGACCCGTTCTGCATGACATTTTTTGCAAAGGCGGCATGTGCTGCTGCACCGCCATCCTCGTCGGCTGCTGCAGCATCTGATGCAGCCTGCAGCGGTCGTGCATTTGGGGATAAGGCGCATGTTCGTGCGGCTGAGCAGCAACAGCAGACTTTGCGGTTGTTGTGGTAGTCGTTTTGTGTTGAGAGTTGGAGGTGCAGCTGCTGCTGAATGTAAGTATGCTGCCGTCATTGCTTCTGCTTGCAGATGGCCTCCCTACCGGATTTGCAATTGGAGCGGCTCCCGGAGGAAATGCCGCTGGTGGAAGAAGCGGCTCGCCTGACGGACGAGGCTTTGGATGCTGCTGCTGCGTTGCTGCAGCGCGAGACGCAGTTCTTGCTGCAGCAGATTCAGCTAAAAGGGAAGGCTAAGGGGGGTCCCTGGGGTCCCCCGGAGCTCGAACGCCTGCGGCGCCTCCACGGCGAAACGGTGCTGGGATTTGAGCGCGTGCGGCAGCGATATGCAGCAAGCAAGGAGCGGGTGATGGAACTCGCCCGGTTTTATGGGGAGGAGCCGCAGCGTCTCAGTAGTGCTGCTGCTGCTGCTGCAGCAGCAGCAGCAGGAGAGGGCTGGGGAGGAATAATGCAGGCGTCGCCCTTCTCCACGCTGGCTGCTATTCTTGTTACCTTCAAACAAACGCTGAGAGACATTCAGCAGCACCCGAAGCGTTACGCTGTGCTTCTCGCCACCAACAGCAGCAGCAACAGCGGCAGCGGTAGCGGTAGCGGGGAAGGGAGAAGCAGCAAAAAGGCAGTACCAGGCCACGGGGGAAATGGTGTGCCCGCCAGTGCTGCTGCAGAAAATAAGAGAGATGGCGAATCTTCTCCGTCTGTAGGCAAGGCTTCTGCTGCAACAGCAGCAGAATCAGAAGCAGCAACAGAGCAATGCTCCGGAGTGCAAGGCCAACTGTTGCGCAAACGCAGTGGACCGGTTTCATGCGCTTCTGCCGCTGCGTCTGCAGCTGCTTGTGGGGGTATTGGCAAGGCCGAGAGAAGCCAGCGGGTCTCCCGCCTGTCCCCTGATGAACAACGCCTCCAGTTGCGTGAGTTGCTGCCTTCCCCCCTCCCGAGTACTTACACCATAATCGGTCTAGGGGATTAGGGTTTAGATTAGAGCACGGAAAGATCCTTTGGTTGGGGCCACTCCCAGCCTTCGCCCCGTAGTTGTTGCTTCTGCCGCTGCTGCTTGTCAAGGAGGTACTGCTGCCTCTGCTGCTGACCTGGCGGATGTCTTGGTTGCTCGTGAACATTCTTGTCGCTTCTGTTGTTATTGATGTTGCTGATTCAGCGAAGCGCAGCTCGAGCTGCTTTGCACTTGCCTCTTCTCTCCAACGGCGTCTTCCCCAACAGCAGAAGCAGCAAAACCAGCGAGTAGTGGCTGCAGAGCAACAAGGGAGCAGTGTTGTTCAGCAACCCCACCAGCACAGCGTCGCAGTAGCGGTGCGGTTGCCTTCTGGGGCCCCTCTTAAGGTGAGCCGTGCGGCTGCTGCAGATAAGGCCATCGACTGCTTCCGCGGCACCTCTGCTGGAGCAGAAGCAGCAGCAGCTGCTGCTGCTGCTGGCAGTCGGGCGTCACTACGTGCACTTATTGATGAGCCGTCGTTCCCTGCTTTGGATATAGCTGCCTCCATTAACAAGGCGCTTTTCGCTCAAGATATACGCGGCGACGACACACAGAGAAAGACTGCAGCACCAGCGGCAACGGCAGGAGCTGCAACAAGAGCAGCAGGAAGTGTACCCACGGCACCTGTGGCCGAGGCCCACCAGGGGTCTATCGCAGAACAAACGTCAATGCATTCTGCGGGTGCTGTTGCAGAACAGCCAGGCAACCGCCCGCAGCTGAGGCAGCAGCTGCAATTGCAGCAGTCGGCGCCTACGTCGGCAAGTGGGCCATTTTTTCCTCCTCGCGTGGTGCCGAGGCACCTGAAGCAGCAGCAGCAACAACAGCAGGGAGTGCCTCCGCGTTCAAAGGTACCACTGGTGCTGAGGCCACGGCTACCGCCCCCAAAATATGAGCGGAGCGAACAGCCGAGTGGCCCACGTCTCAAAGGTGGGCATCGGCTTGTTGAGTCAGGAGCGCAACAACAGGAGCAACAGTTGCAGCAGCAGGAGCAACAGCCACAGGAGGAGCAGTTGGAGCAGTAGCAGTTACACAAACAGACGCGTTCTGGGGTCGGTTAGTATCCCCCAAGAGGAACCAGATTGTGGCAACTGCCTCATTGTTTAGCAGCAAACATTCAACAGTTTTTGTCCAAGAGCAACAGACAGAGTAGAGACGGCCTAAACTCTAAACACTAAGCTTTAGTGTCTAATCCCTCATAGATTGTCAAGGGAGTGAGTGGCGTAGAGCAGCTCACAGCGGGGGCGCGCAACGGAAGGAGCTGCTTCCCTTCTGTTTGTCCGTCCGTGCGTCTCCTGTCTTGTGGAAGGGGCATTGGAAAGAGCAGACTAACGGAGACTAAGTTGCCTTCAACGTCCTTTTTGCAGTAATCGCCGGAAGAGGTGCAGTAGGCTTTCCCTATTCTGGCTTCTTGCGGCCTTTTCTGCTGGTGCATGCCTGCTTGCAACCAGAGGAGCTACTGCAGGAGTTGCAGCTGCAGCAAACTGTTCGCACGCGGAAATGAGCGCGGCGGCTTGCCCCACAGGCAGCATCTAAGCTACAGCTCTTTGGTACAGCTACAAACTGGGACATCCTGATAAGCTCATGCTGCTGCAAAACAACAACCTGCGTCGATCGCCGCTGAGAACGAAACCAATCCATGGAGGACCGAGGGAGCAGTACTAACTCCCGTTCAATATGGGTTGCAAATATTTGAACGTGTGAACTAATTATTATGCTGAAATCTCTTTGTATATAGATAGGAGCGCATTTTATACCATGTGCATGTATATGCAGAAGAAGTAAATGCCTTCAAATTTTTGTATGCTGCATCTGATTGACATAGTCCCAAACTGCTGGAGCTAACCAATTGCGGAAAACCCTGTTTTAGGGGTTCTTGTTGAATGATTATGCTGCATTAAATCTTATTTCATCCTTTTAATGTCTTATTTCTTCTTTTTTGAATCCTATGAGACACTAATAATAGAGGGACAGTAACCGACCAGCGGCCTCCCGCTACTGTCCATAGCCGCCTGCCTTTTCTGTTGACGTTGGCTGATTGAGCTGCTCTTTAAAGTTGTTTTATTTGAGCTTAAAATACCCGGAAACCATTAAATGTTAATTTGATTCTAAATATCTCGTGAAGGCGAAGCGGCAAAAGACGTACCAGCTGTCTTCTGAACTGCGGCGGGTTCTAGGGCGGGCGGCCACAAGGCGGTCGGTCCTGGGGCGGCTTGAACCCGGACTCCCTGTCTGCTCCCTGTGGTGGCCCTGTCTTGATTTCTTTGGATATATCTTTGTTTTATCTTTAATTGCTTTTAAGAATTCATTGTTTTGCACGCACAACCCCCCCTTCTAGACAGAAGACGCCGCGACGCCGCCCTCTCGCCCCGGCTTGCGGTGCAGCCGACTCGACGCAACATGGCGAGGCTAAGAAGTAAACCCTAAACCATACACCCTAGACAATTGCCCCAAACATTAAGCACTAAACCCCAGTTGTTGGGCCCACGCTGCTGCGTCTTAAGTTAGCGCTCCAACGGGAGCGTCTGTAGTGCTGCAGCTAATCCATGACTGTAGTTCCTTCTCTCGTGCCAGAGAGGCCGAGCTTCAAAATCCTATACTCCAAACGTTAAGTGGCTCCTTCCGTTGCTTGTCAACGAGGTCCTGAAGGTGGCAGCAGCTGAACTTGCTAGGTGTATCTCGGCTGCATCGCGAGCTTGGGGGCCTCGCCCTTCAAATTAAGGTATTGGGGTGTATTGTTTAAAGTTCATAGTGTGTCTTTAAGAAGTTAAATGCTTGTTCTGCTTATGTATGTTTCTGTTTCAGAGACCCCCTCTGCCTTGGTGCTGCTTCTTGGCATCTTGGAGACCCTTCTCTGCCTAGCTGCTGAGCCCGCAGGTAAACATAGGCGGGTCTGAGGAGCCCTGACAGTTGCTAGCTAGTGTTATCATATCTGTGAATATTACCGGCACTGTCTGTGTTGTTTTGTGTTGAATAAAAATTGTCTTTGTGTTTTGTTTTTGTTATCCTCTGCTGCTCCGAATTTGTCGCCTGCTCTCCTCTCCATAAGACAACGTGCAACGGACAGCTCCTCCAGCTGCATCAGGTCAGATGTTTCCCTTTTCCTTCCTTGCTGGCTTTGGACGAGACGGCCATGTGTGGTATAGTAGTAGTAAACAGAGTACAAAGAAGAGAGCTACAACCTGAGACAAAGCTAGCTCTGCCGGATTTGCACATTCTTACTTGGCAACTGTTGCGTCTCTTGTCTTCTTCTCAGCTGGTGCTGTACACCTGAACTATGCGGGAGAGGGTTCAGGCGGAGAATCAGCCGTATCCACCGTGCAAAAACAAGGCGCGTACTTCATTTTAGGAGCTGCCACATGGTGGAAGTGTCTGGCCAATGGGTTCTAGGGTTTCTGTGGCCGTCCATGTTTATTGCCTAGGGTCTTGAAGGGTCTTTTATTTAGGATTGTATGAACTACAGTGTAGAGTTTTATTGTTGCCAGGGGCGAGGGTCTTGGGTCTACCACAAAGAGGTTTTGACGTTAAGATCAAGGTGTAGGCAGCGTGCACGGCGCTTTTGGGTATTGACGGTTTAGGTTTTTGGGTTTAGGTTTGTGCCTGTTGTGCATTTCAGACGCTCACCTATTGAGTGTTTTAGATTCGGAGACGACAAAAACACATATTGGAGCTCTCCAAGACCCTGCAGCTCACTGCAGTTCGCCAGATGCCTCCACCACACACTTCTGCTACACCTTGAGGGAATATGCTGCTTCTGTTCTGGTAACTCAGCAGCTAGGTAGGACCCACAGCACCTGTTGGGGTTTCTGCTGCTGGTGCTGTTTCTCCCTCTCCTGCTGCAATGAAGGCAGGAAGTTGAGATGGGCAGCCCTTTGCTATTCTCAACTAAAAGGGGCAGTGAAGCCATGGTAGAACACAGTCAGCTGGAGCATGCATGCCAAAGCCATTGGGGCTTGATTGCACATATGCACTCCGTTTACTGCTGCAGAAGGTGCAGAGTGCACCCACAAGAGCCTGGAGGAGCTGAAGGCAGAGAAACGGCAGCGGAGAAAGGCAAGAAGGAAGCAAAGGATACGCGGTGCAGCAGTTACAAAGGCGGCCCGCAGAGCAAAATCAAGAGCAAAAAAAATTGCGGGCGGTAGGGAGGAATACTCGTGCTGATAGTGCTGCAGCTCGTGCTGGAACTACAGCAGATTTCTTTGTCTTGTTTGTCCTTACGAGGTGAAGACCCATCGCAGAGTGCTGCGTGGGTTGCTCTTGCAGGCTTGGCTTCTGCTGTAGCAGCAAGCCATGGAGAGGCTAGATCCCCATCGAGGAAGCCGCAGGTGCAGACCTCTTCATCATCAGGTGCTAGTTTGCTGCAGCTGCCGTCTCTGAGTGACCAAGCAGCCCAACATGAAGCACTGGCTAAGGACTACGCAAAGCAGGTGCAGATGGCCAGGCAAAATGCTCAAGGCAGAGGTCAGCCCCAATTTTACCCTTGACCCAAAATGGTAAAGGGCGGATTCGGATTTGGTAGAACCTGCATTACCTCCCACATTGTTACCCTACAGCAACCCTAAATCCTGCATCCGGTGTACTGATGCCCTTCAGGGGATGGCTCAGGCCTCACGCAAGCAGCCATGAAGATATTTGACGGTAGGCCACTCCGTTGTTTCTGCGGCAAAGCCTATTGCAGCAGCCGAGGCTCCTGCTTGCATGGAGCTGTTGTACCTTAGGTGAGCATGTGTTGGGACTGGGAGTATTTTGTGTCTGTTGGTTGACTTTTGCAGCCTCCCTGTACATCCAGGCCGGAGGTGAGCCGAACGCCACAACAGCTGCAGCAGCACTGAACAGCAGCAACTGCTACTGCAGCACTCAACTGCTCCGTTGGTGCAAATCGCTTCTCCGCATGCACTCCGGTTCGCTCTTGTTGCTTGTGGTGCGTGTGCGGAATGTTGCTGCCTGCGTCCATGCCTGCTGTTCCTGTTGCTGTTGTTGTTATTGTTGTCTTTTAGCGTTGCTTCTGACGGGTATGGCAAAAGAGTTATTAAGCAGCATCGTTGCTGCTGCTACTGCAGCTCCCGATGGTGTTTCTGTGGAACTAGACCCCCGGGAGGTGGAGAGTACGCTGCGGTCGGTGTTGGTCGGGGGCAGTTCTTTTGCACAGCCTGTCGCTGCCTTTTGTGTTGCCATCATCGAGGAGGCATTAACCAGTATAAATGCCAAGACAAAGACAGCACAAGAAGCGAAGGCAGATGCCTTTTTAGCGCTCAATGATCTCCACACGACTGTCGCCACCACAGCCAAACTCAAGGCAGAAACCACTGCAGCACAGCTGGATGCGCAGGGTCGTCAAATAAACCAACATGTGAAAACAGCAGTAGCAGCCACTCCGGCTGCGGGACTCAAACAGCAAATGGCCGCCCAAGTCGTTGACCTCGTCCTTGCCATCATTGATCGTGAGTTGGTGCCGCTACTGCAGTAACGCGTTGCTCCTGCTTCTGCAACTAGTTGTTGATGCCCAACGACATCTCACGCTGTCAGTCACAGAGAGGCACGTTAAGAGGACGCATCAGGGCATCCTGTGAAACCGCTGCTGCAGCGCCTTGAAGCATTATTCTTGTGTGTATGCGTTGCTTGCTGCCGGCAGACCCTGAAGATGTCACAGGTAAGGAAATGCTACTGTGGGATATTTTAAGATTGCAGTGGAGACAGCTACACAGATCATTATCCATTCTTGCACGATTTGACAGTTTCAGTGTAGGGTCTATGGGTAACGGTTTAGGCTGTTGAGCTGTTTGTGCAGTGGTGAAATACACGAAGTCGTCTGAAGGTTCTCGCAGCAGTGGAGGTGGAGGTGTTCGGCTGTCCGTTAGCGGAGGCAACGAGGAGCCCATCGCAGTCCCGGCCACCCCACACGTCGACCTCGGTGGAGCTTCGCCGGTAGTGGTCCCTCCAGTGGCCTCTGTGGTGGTGCCTGAAGGGTCCACCAAGGTCTCTATCTCAAACGAAGAAGCAGCAGCAGCAGCTGCTGCTGCTGCTCAGAAGCGCTTAATAGCAGAGGGGGGGCAAACACCAGACAGCAGCACAGGGGGCGCTGCTTCGGTGTCTTCTTCGGAGGCGACTGTCCACCCACATTTCTCGTCTACGCGTCCAAGCAGCACCTCGCATCTCAGTAGCAACGTGCATCACACGCAGGGGGCCCCTATCTCGGTGCACCTGATGCGCTTCGGCGAGGGCCCAGCATCCCAGAGCACCCCCCGCAGTTCTGCTGGTGCAGCCTCTGCAGGACCCTTCGTCTCGCAGGGCCTCAATATTCAGGGGACGTCTCCCATGCCCCTCCCCCGAGGCATCCAGATAGTCCATGAAGGCTCTGATGGGGCCCCTCAGACCTTAACTGTGCAGCGCACTTCACACGGCATCAGCGCGCAGCATGGACCAGGAACAATAGGAGAAGCATCAGCTGGTGCACAAGGAAATAGTGCACCAGGTGTAACAGTTCACCGCATACGTTTCGGAGACGGGCGTGAGCAGCAGAATCCACTTGTAACACGTCCTGGTGACAACACGCCACCTGGAGGCCCCCCGCTGCAGCACAGGGGTGTCCAGATCAGTTTTGGGGTTGAAGGGCCCCGAGGCTCACATGTGGGGGGCAGCAGTAAATGGGATGCACCCAGTGCTTCTGCTGCTACGGCTGGTGCTGGTGCGGCTGCTGCTGCTGGTGTTCCCATCTGGGTCCATCAGCAACTAGCGGCACCCGACCTGACGCAGCTGTCTATCCCAGGGTTCACAGCCACCGCCGCTCCTCTAAGCAGTCTCCCCTTCTATCAGACAATGGGCCAGGCCCCCAGCATCGGGCCCCGCTTCCACGGTGTCCAAGTGGTGAGCCGATCCTCTCCAGTTGTAGTTACTTGCCACGAACTACATTGCACGAAATCCTAGCCAGCATTTGAGACCTGGCTGCAATCTCAGAAGATGTGGCTAAACAGGACGGTGGAGCTAGCTGAGACTGGCAACCTAGCTGAGAAAATATCACGAATTGCATGCAGATGCGACCTCGTGCTTGCCCTCTACCCCTTCCTCATTATTTCCTTCTGTTTCAGGACTATGCCCTCGGCAACGTTGGAACTCCCAACGACATTTGCGTGACGGAGGCTATGCTGTTCCCTACTGGGTGGATGGGCTCAGGGCCTCCAGGGGCGGCCCTAGGCAGGTCTACGAGAGGGTCCCCCCACTCTATGGGGTCCCTGGCGGCCTCCGTTGCAGAGCGGTGGGCCTTCCGGAAGGCACAGGAAGCCACTCAGCAGTCCATTACTTTCTTCCGCAGCAGCGACAGCATCAAGAAGCATGTGGACAGGCTCCGTAAGCAGCCACACCAACACTCAGACTGCATGCACGAACTCCTGGGACTCCTACTGTCGCCATTTTCATTGTCAGCAGCAGCAGCAAACACCAACAGCGTTTGCTGCGGCATGCGCTTGGCGTTTCTGTGTAGTTGGGCCTGAGTGGTTTCTCTCTGTTTCTGTCTTCCTGCTTTTACAGTAAAAAAACACCTGTCCCAGCTGCAAGAAGTAACGGCACCTGCTCCTTCTTTCAACACCCTAACCAGTAGCGGCTGCAGATCGCATGCAGAAGAAGCAAGGAGGGCATTTTACAACCTGTTCTTCGGCTCCAACCGCCTCTTCGAATCGGTCTTGAGTAACCCAACAGCAAATGCTAGGCTGCAGCTGCGAGCCCAGCTCCTCCACTCCCACGGTCAGCTACTGTTCACACACTCAAGCATTTCCGCTTCTCTAGGTTTGAGAGTTTACGGAGTAGGGTAGCTGACGTATAGAGTCTACGTTCAAGGGTTCAAGGCATACAGGCTGGGGTTTACGGTTTGAGGTTTAGGGCTTTGTGGGCTGTCTTTCAGGCGTTATTCCTGCAATGCCTGTGGAGGTAGACAGAATGATGAGCCAAGAAGTGAGGAAGATTCAAAACAGCGTCCACTCAGGCAAGTGTTGGCTTGTTCGTTTGTTTCTTTAACTTTGTTTGTTTGCTTAGCATTTTCCTTTAAGTATGTTTGTTTGTTTGGCTGGGTTCGTTGGTTTGCTTAACTGGATGTGTTTGCTTGCTTGTTTGCATGACATCTTCTGTTCGCTTAAACTTGGTTTGTTTGCTTAACTGTGTCTGTTTCTATGCCTGGTGTTGGTGTGTTTTGCCATCTGTGTTTTGTTAATTTTTTTATCCTTTTTTCGATTAAATTGGTGTGCTTGGGAGAATAGAGGGAGCACCGGATGTGGTGTATGCATGCAGGAGAGAAAGGCAAGTGTAGCGAGTCCCTGATGCTGACAATACACTTAAACGAGATGCCGCTGCTTTTGGAGCAAAGCCGATTGCTATCTAAAAAGTGTCCTCTAGTCTTATCTCATTCTTTCTGTTGCTGCTGCTGCTACTGGCATTGCTGCAGCTGCTGCTTACGGCTTTCTCGATGCATGCGGCAAGAAGTGCTACAGCGCCCCCAACACGAGGAGAGGAGATGGTGCGTAAATTTGATTCGTTGACGCCGCTTAGTTCAAGTGTCTCCAAAAACTGTTTCTCCTCTGCTTCAGAAGAACTCCCTGCCTCTGGATGTAGAGACTGCCTTCGTGGCGCCTTGCTGCAACTACTCTGAAACTTGGTTTCTCCTGTTGTTCACTCTATGGTTTACCAGTGTTCGGTCCCGTTTGGTTTACCAGTGTTCGGTCCCGTTTGCAAGGATGCATTGAAGTTAATACAGGTTTAGGGATTGATATCGTCTATTAGGGCTTACTAGGGTTTATTAGGGCTTAGGGTTTAGTTGTGTGTCCTAATGAGGTTTTCAGTACTTTTAAGCGCCGTTTTCTCCCTTGACCACACCCTCATGAAGCTGAACACGATGGCCTACCGCGGATTGTCTTTGACTGCCCTTTTCTTTGGGAACCTCAGTTCGTCAGTCCCTCATGTGAGTCTTTGGCTTCCTTCCTAGTTGCATGTCGCCTGGATGAGGTGTGCCTGCCGGTACATAGCTGGGCCTCTTTGAAATCTATGAAATACCTTATACTGTAGACCGGTGCCGCTGCGAAATGAAACTGAAGAAGCGTATCGCCTTTTATGGTTTACCGTGTGCAGGGGAATATCCAAGGTGTGTGTGTGTGTGTGTGTGTGTGTGTGTGTGTGTGTGTGTGTGTGTGTGTGTGTGTGTGCTGCTGCTGCTGCTGCTGCTGATGCTGTTGCCTCTCTACTGGCTTGCTTGTACACAGCTTCCAGAAGAGACCAAACAAGGACAAATTGAAGAAGCTTCGAGGCAGCTGATTGCCATGTGGGGCGCAGAGAAGGGGAGGAAAGCAAAGAAAGGAGATGCAGAGCGGCTACCACCTGGAGAGGTTCTTCCATTGCTTGAGGTCTACACCGCCGGTCTGGAGCGGCTGGTGTCACTGCTACTGCAGTCACCTCACACGCAGCATTTGTTCAACCTCGCCACTCACACTTGGGTGCAGCTGCGAGGCATTTACAACGCAGCGGAGGGCTTCAAGCCTGACAGCAATTTCAAGGCTACTGCACGAAACAAACAGCTCGCCGCTGTCTTCAGCAAACTCTGGTTCGATGGGGACGCCACACCTCAAGAGTCAACTGCAGAGGCTCCAATACTTAAACCTTTTTTTGCGCCGTTGGCTTCTGTTTCCCTTCAAATCGGTACGACTTCATTTTAAAGAACATTCGTTTCACGCATACTGTACATTCGTCCATGTACATCGTTTAGAGGTTTAGAGAGGGTTTTTCGTGTTGATTTTGTGGTAGAGTTCTCCCTATAGAGCTTTTTGTGGTTGGTTGCTGACCATGATTGATGCCTTTTCTGTTGCATTGTTTTGAGTTACCAGTGCAAGTCAGCAGCAGTTGGGATTGTTGTCTTTGTATGTGTTTTGCTAAACAGCTTTCTTCCTGCACTCTGTAGTGGAAGAGTTCAAGAGGGGCCTGTGGGGTCGTCTGGGAGCTTCTATCCGTTCTTTCTTTCAAGGGTTATTTAGAAAGCACAAGAGAATGAATATTCCAAGCACTTGGTCTCAGATGGTTTCGCGGGCTCAGGCACAGCAAACAGCAGACCCTAAGGGCTTCCAAGGGGCCCTCTGGGGCATCGAGCAGCTAGCTGACTTCTTCTTCTCTAGGTTCATAAGACCTTCTGCACTCCAGAGCAGTTCGTCTCCCTTGATGCCATCTTACATCGCATTCGTGCATGCACTGGTCTCCCTTTGGATGGCCAACCCACGAAGTCCAACGCAGTTCAGACTCAACGACCCACAAATACCCAAGGCAAAAAAACTCTTCTATTACAGCCTCCTGCTATACCGTATGTGCAAGCTCGAACCCACAGGATTTAGAGTTTACGGTTTAATGCTCAGGCTGAGGGTTTTGGTGTCAGGGTTTAGCCTTTAGGATTTGGGCCCCAGGTTTCGGGGTTTTAGGATTTGGTGGCTTCTCTTTACAGGAGTCGCAATTCGCCTCCACAGAAGGGCCCTGCATGGCGCCGGTTCTAGGGTTTAGGGTTTGGGGCTTAGGGTGCTGTTGTTTGTGCAGCGAGGAGTTTAACTAAATTGGCTGCCGACTTGATAATTAGCAGCTGCACAGGTGAGATGAAGTTTATACAGTCCAAGTAGACGCGTTTAATGCCTTGACTGTTCACGAATGGAACGAGGTTTCATGCTACTGCCTGCTGCTGTTGCTGTTGTTGTGGGCTTTGCAGACATGAAAGCAATCGACATGGGGGTAGTGACGGCTACAGTGGAGTTTTCAGGCAAGAGGCAGACTGTGGGGAGGACGGTCTTGAAGCACAAAAGGGTACCTCTGAGGTTTTCGACTTTAATGTACCACCTAAACAAGTTGCTTGCTGCATATGATGACCCCTTAGACATTGTCCGAGTAGCTCAGGACCTTGCCACCCGCTGCAAGACACCCGAGCAGCCGCAGCCGGAGCAACGCAAGAAACGCATCGTGAGAATTCAAACAAGTGCAGCCAACACCGGTGTAGAGTCCCGCTTCAGTACACACACCACCAGCGGCTGTTGGTGATGTTGCTGCAACAGCAGCAGGCGGGGTAGCAGCGCAGCCAAGTGCAACAGCGACTGCTGCTTTTGGCATGGAGCAGATGGAAGTGCATGAGCTCTTCTGAAGGCCGTTCTTACTGCTGCAGCTGTGTTGGTTGCTTCCACGTTTGGCTCGTTTCGTTTGCAGCTGAGCTTTACTAAGGAGTTCAATCGCAATAACGATCGCGCTGTGCAGCTGCTGAGTTCGAAGTTCGTCTTGGATACATGGTGTCTCCAATACAAAGGTGACATTTTGTAGTTTCGTAGTATTCTCTTGCCTTCGCTTTTCTCAATCGTATCTTACATGGCCTCATTTGTCTCCTTCCTGCCTCTTCCTTATCTGTTTTTGTCTCTATTTTTTTTATTTCTTCTTTTGCGTTTATGGCGCTAAACAAAGAGCAACAGCAAACAGATCTCTGTATTGCAGCAGCAAGCAGCTTTCTGCAGAGAACCAGCACCCAGTATCTTTCTGCTTGTGTTGGCTGCTGCTGCAGATTTTATAATGAAGAATATGACAAGAGTTCCTCAGACAAAGAGCGGCAGCAAACTTTTTTTGCTGCTGGAGGCGGAGTTAGACAAAACAGCAGAAGTGGTGCTGCGGCCTTCTGCTGCTCCTGCTGACTCTTGGGTATTAAACATAAAATGTCCTTTCATGAAGGATTTCGTGGATCCTGAAAAGAGACAAGAAGCAAGAAAAGGGATGATGCAATATGCCATTAGTAAGTGTACAACCACCTTCTGCTGCAGCACAAACAAAACCCCAATTGATGTACATGGAAGCATGCAGGAAGCATAACAGAACTTCCAAACTCCTGGATTCATCGCCAGCTTCTTCTGTGCTTGCTGCTCCTGCTGTGCTGCTGCTGTTTTTGCTGCTGCTGCTGCTTCTGCGCAGCTCGGCGCAGTTTGGGGAAGCGTTTGATACGGAAAGTGAACGCAATAGGTAATTTCTTTGTAAAGAAGTTCTCCTTCAAAAGGAAGAGGGTCCCCGGTTCAGTCGCAAATAAGGAATTTGCTGTCATCCACGTGGGGACAAGCATATGGTATAAAGAGAGTCAACGATTTGAGCATGCGCTCACCTTCAGGCCGGAGGCAATGAGCTGCGGTGAGAGTTGCTGCTGCTCGTCATATGTATCCTTTTCTAGCTTCTTGTGTGCCTCATTTGTTTATTATGTCTTCTTTGTTTACTCGTTTGGTGCTGCCCGTCCCTAGTTCCTTTGCGTACTTCTTATGTGCCCATTTATTGAATTTCTAGCTGCATGTTTTTTGTTTGCTTCCGACATGCCTCCGTCCTATCGTTCCCAGCCTCCCCTTCTTTTCATTTCGTAGCTCTCCCTTCTTTCGCTTCTTAAGTGTCTCCTTTGCCTTGTCAGCTCTCTCCCCCTAATGTTCTAGCAATCCCGTGTATTTACTTCTCTGTCAGTCCTCTGCCATCTAACGTTTTCTCCTGTATTCATGTTTAATTCTCTGCTGTGCCCTTCTTAACCCTCTTACATCTTCGTGTCTGGTTAATTCTCCACTGTTCCAGTCGTAAATATTGCACTGTCTCCTTGTCTGATTCTATTCTGTGTCTTTTAACTGTTTAATTCTATTCTGTCTCCTTCAAATGCTTGATCCTTTTCTGTCTCGTTTTAATGTTTAATTCTATGTTGTCTCCTTTTCATTTCTGGTCGTTTTCTTCATTCCTTTAATTTTTACATTTATTCTCTTTCCTTTAGGAACCCGAGTGGCAGGAGGCCCCCGCAAGCCTGTTGACTTCCGAAACGGCGATTTTGTTATGGGCTCGACAGATCCAGCAGCAGGTAGGGCAGAACCCTAATATCTTGCCTTTAAACCATCACACTAATTCCAAACCCCAAGGTCTATCCTAAAGCCTAGTTCTTTATTCTAATCCTCAACTCTAGCCAGAGTCCCAGGGCTGTTGACCCTACACAATCCGCGTCATAGACCTAAACCCCTCCACTAAACCCTAGCCATAAACGCTTGTCTAAACCATCGTTCAAAAGCCTAATCATAAACCCAAGTCTGCCTGCGATGTGCAGATGAAGACGCGGTCTTATGCGTAAATCAAGAGAATATGCAATGCTGGGCCACTCGGAGGGCTTTGATGTTTAAGGGCTCCACAGAAGGTAAGTTGTCTTGTAAACCGATGAAAATGAAGTTTAGGGATAAAACAAACCACCGTACAGGCCGTAAAGGAGACAGGATACATACAGAATTGTCTCCTCCCTCCCCCAGAGTGAAGCTCTGTCCCAACTGTGTCTTCTGCTTGCTCTCCGGTGTCCGTGGCTCTGCAGCTCCTGTATCACATTCGGAAACCCCGGCGGGAATGTGGTATGCTCGGCTAACTCCCACAAACCCTTAAAAAGAGTGTTACATAAGCATCCCTTTGTTGCAGCAGCAACAGCAGCAGCTGCTACGCAGGCAACTAAGCTCTTGCCCACACCCTTGACCCCTTAGGTACTTCGCAGACGGTAGATTATCTACCCCGCCCCTGTTATTCAGTTAGGGGATCCGATCCCTGGAGTGGCATCCTACCCCAGCGGACGGGGATCCGATAGGAAAGAGTGGGGTCGGACCCCAAGACTGGCAGCGGGTACTTGTCTCGTCTGCCCAGTAGGCTAGGGCTGCGCGAATGTTTTTTAGAAGAGACCGCTACCTCCTGAAGTGTGCCTCTTAAGCAGCACCTGTGTAGTCAACTGGTCCTTGTCTGCTGGAGACAGCATTAACGCTGTCTCATGCACAGATAGACTCCCTTCTGCAGCAACAGCAGCAGCAGCCTCAGAAGGAACCCCACGTCCTTGGCTACAGGACACGGCGGAACAGCAGAGAAGAGCACCCAAATCCTCTACTCCGTTGCAGTTGCTGCAGCTACCAATCCTCTTGCTGCTGCTGATTGCATGCATCAGCTGTTGCTACTGTGCTACCCCTGTACTGTACGCTGGAGATACACGTCAAGGGGAAAATGCCGCTGGATAGCGCAGACAACTAGACATAAACCAGTAGCAACCTAAAACCCAAAACCCTACACCATAATTAGAGACAACGGTGATAGCCTTAAAACGAACGAGCAGAGACACTGCCAATGCAGCTGCCTCTTTAAGGAAAGTGCAGCAGCAACTAAAATAAGACAGTAGAAGCACTGAATGCCTGCACGCAAGAACTCATCTAAATGACCTATGGGCTCAAAAGAGACGCTAAAAGAAAGTTGTAAACCATTACCCCTAAAACAAATCCTCAAAACTTAACAACCCCTAGCCTGTGAGCCAACACGACTCACGCAAACTAGAGGAAAATGCTGCTGCTGCTGTTGCAGCAGCTGCTACTCCTCACGCTGCAGGTTGTGGTGCAATTTGGGATCCTGCAGCTCAATATGTGTGTGATATTGTGGCTTCTTTGGCTGCTGCTGCTTTTATGCACCAGCAGCTGTTGCTGGTTCTGTTTTAGCAGCTGCTTCCTTTGCCGCTGCATCCGGTGCAGCACCTGTTGCAGCGGCTGGTTCATCTGCTTCTGCTCAGGCGCTTGCTGCCTGACGTATCTTTCCTACGATGTGCAGCATCACGACAACCCCCATAAACACCAACGCCATTATCAACACCGCTTGTGGGCCCCTGCAGCACCCCACACAGCAGCAACAGCAGCAACCAAGCAAGCTTCTACCGTCATCAATACAACTAAACAGGTCACACTCCACACTACTACAACTGCTGCTGCTGTTGCTGCTGCGTGCATACATACACTCGGAGGCCTGGAGCGTCTTCCGTGTAGAACTTAAGAATGCCTTGATTTGCTGCATTCGATCGGGGCCTCGAAATGGTAGCAGCGCCGCTAGAAGCAGTAGAACTCTTCGATGTAACCCGCTTCCTGCAGCAGCAGCAGCAACGGCAACAGAAGCAACAGCAGCAACAATGAGTGCGAATAGGCTCGGTGGCTTGAACAGACTCCCTATTAAGTCATGCACGCATGCCCTGGGTCTGTACAGTCTGCTGCTGCAGGTACCGCAGCTGCTTCAGCGTACCTTGTTGCAGCGACACGGGAGCCGCCTACAGTAGTCTGCGAGGCCTGGGTAGAGAGAGAGTTTGTGCCCTGAAACAAACAAAACCAAGAACAGTAGACGGCTACAAACTAAAGCCCCAAATAATTCATGTACGCATGCATTATGGATTATTTGCATGCATGCATTCAGAGCAACAACACGCAGAAGCGAAGAAAAACAGAAATAGCACAGGAAAACGTATGGCGCCTAAACCCTAAACTCCAATCCTAGAGCCTCCAGCGCAAAGGAACACGACCGCTCCACGCCTCTCTAAACCTGTATTTCTAAACCATAAACCATAGGCCCTAAACCCTAAACATTATACACTGAAGAGGCGATCGGGCGAATGAGGCAGCAGCACGAAGAGAAACAGGAAACAGGCAACAGCAACAACACTCAGCAGCCCAAGTTGCATGCAAGCCTTTAAGGAATACATGTACGATAGTATGAAGAACAAGATAGATAAAAAACAGCAGGAAAAGCCGCCTAGTTTCTCCCTGTCTGCTGCTCGCTCAAGGAAACCTGCAAAGATTTGCTGCTGCTGCTGCTGCTACGAGAAGGGCGGCAGCAGAGGCTGCTGCTGCTGCTACGTGCGCACACCTTCCCGTACAACAGAAATAAGACCTCTGAAAGATCGCGTATGCAGCGGAAAGGCATAGACACGAAGAACAGCGGCAGCAACATCAACAGCAGCAACAACAGTCAACTATATGCACAGACAGCCGCTCGCTCCCTTTGCTGCTCACCACCATCGTAAAGAGCAATGTGAAGGAGAAGACAAAATAATAAACAAAGCAGAGAAAACGTCTCTCTGCGGCCGTTAAGAATTAAACAACAGAAATACAACACAAGATAATCCCCGTACTTCTCTATGGCCCGCTCCTTACAGCCCCGTCGCCGAAATATACGGGCAGCAGCAAGCAGCAGCAGCGGCAGCAGCAAGCAGCAGCAGCGGCAGCAGCGGCAGCAGAGGCAGCAGCGGCAGCCGCAGCCGCAAGCAGCAGTAGTAGCAGCTGCTACTGCTGCCGCCTGCTGCTGCCGCTGCTGTTGCTGCTGCTGCTGCTGCTCCTGCTGCTGCTGTTGCTGTTGCGTGTGATCCTTCAACTGCAACTAAATTATCTTTTATTTTATTTAATCTATATTTATAAATTGAAAAAATAGAAAATAAATTAGGCTTAGACGAGGAAGAGGCAGCATCTGCTGCTGCATGCATTATTTAACCAGGGGCACTTGGTTTGTTTGCTGCTGGTTCCCTGCATAGCTCGTTTTCTGTGTCTCTTACGGCATTTTCTTCCGCTTTCATCTGTTTTGTTTATATTTTGCTACTTATTTGGCAGTATTTTTTTAATTTTAGTAATATGGTAATTCTTTCGTCTTACCCCAGGGGACCCTTCCTGTGTGCTTGTATACGGGTTGCTTAATCTTTATAGAAATGTAGTAACATCTAATAAATTAGACTGCCTATAGGGCTTAAATATACTTGCCCCCCCATTGTCGTACTTCGCGTGCATGCGTGCATGCATGCATACATGCGTACAGATGCCACTGAATGAATAATCTTTAATAGATATTTTCAATAGGAAGCCTCAACAGCCCCAGCTCCTACCCTGTCTTCCTTAGATATTGCTGCTTCATACCTTCTCCCTTATCCCTAATAAGAAGGGGCCCAGGCAGAACGCAGGAGCAGTAGCAGCAGCCTCTGGGGCCCCCCACGATGTGCCACGGGGCCCGTGGTGTCTGCTGTCTCTCTGCTGCTGTCTTCGTCTACTATCTACTTTTGCGACTGTCTTCGCTATTCCGATTTTCTCGCTGCTATGTGTAATCAGAGAAAGCTATAACCTGTTAACAGACTCACCTCTCATACGTCTATTCTTTCTGCTGCTGCTGCATAATACTCGCTGCTGCTGCAGAGACACTCGCTGCTGCTCCTCCTCTTATAGCGACAGAGACCGTAGTACCGTTGGCAGCACGTTTCCAGCGCGAGGCTTCCGAACCTGTTACAACTGCAGCAGCAGCAGCTGCTGCTGCTGCTGCTTTAGTAGACAGTTCCACCTGCCAGGCCATGCGGTTTTAATGCAGCATTAAAGGTTGACACAGCAGCAAAAATATGCTGTAGAGTCGAATAAGAATTAGCAGCAGCTTTCTTTAAACACAATGATAGGAGGCACCCTCACCGAGCCTAGATCAGGGGCTGTAGATACACCTGAAACCCCACACGCGGTTAGCGAGGGCAAAGCTGTGCTGCTGGCTGAGGCTTGGGGCGCCCCACTCAGCAGCAGCAACAGCAACAGCAGCAGTAGTGACAGCAGCAGAAGCAGCAGCTTGGCGCCGTCTCAGAGAGCAGGTGGGATCGTGTTGGGATCGTGTTTTGAGGGAGAAGATACACCTAGACAGCGGCATGTAGACCCCACAAAAGAGGGCCTGCATGCAGCAGAAGAGCTGTGGGGCTTTTTAGAAGACAGCAGCAGCAGCAGCAGCTCTAAATGTCCCTCTTCATGTTTACCTCCTGTCTCCTCTTTGTCTCCTCCTCTAAGAAAAGACATAGTAGAACCATCAAGTCCTCAAGAAAGAGAAAAGGAAACAGAAGAAGGACCTACTGCAGCGAACAATAGAGACATAAAAAAGTCTTCGCAAGAAAAGAAAGACAATGACAGAGGAAGCAGCAGCAATCGATGCATGGGAGACACAAAGGAGACAGGAGATACCTCCTACCCTTGCTGCACCAGCAGGAGCAGCAAGAGCAGCAGCAGAAGCAGCAGCAGAAGCAGCAGCAGAAGCAGAAACTCCAATCAACAACTTTCTAACACACATGAAGCCTTTAGAGAGACATGTACCCCCCTGCAGCAGCAGCAGCAGCAGCAGGAACAGGTGTTGCTAAACAGCACACGTCAAAAGCAAGAACGCCACAAGATGGTGCATCCGCTGCTGCAGCAGTTGCTGCAGGATGAAAAGAAGCAGCAGCAGCTACAGCAGCATGAGGAATCGCCAATCAAAGGAATGAACCAGCTGCAGCAACAGCAGCAAGAGAAGCAGCAACTGCTGTGTGAAAAACAGCAGCAGAAACAACAGCAAACACACAAACAAGAAAAGGAGCAGCAAAAACAGCCGCAAGAGCAGCAGCAACAACAATATACACAGGGGGTGACGCAAAGCCTCAAGTTTGGGGAAACGCAGCAGCAGCAGCAGCAGCAAGGTGTGACAGCCAAGGAGCAACAACACACTGGGGCCAAGAATCCCATTCAGCAGCAACAACAAGATGTGACAGCGAGATTGAAGGAGCAACACACGGCCCAGCAACCGACGAAGCAGCAGCAGCAACAACAACAACAGCAGCAGCAGCATATGGAACAGCTTCAGCAAGTGTCCCAAGAGCAGCAGCTGAAACAACAGCAACAGCAGCAACAGCAGCAAAACCAGCAGCAGCAGCAACAGCAACAGCAAGAGCAACAACACCATCAGCAACAGCAGCTACAGCAGTTACAGCACCAGCAGCAACAGCAGCAACTGGAACAACAGCAGCAGGAACAGTATCAACGGAAATTGCAGGAAATGAGGCAGCAGGAGAGCCAGATCCAGCATCAGCAGAAACAAGATGAACAGCCGCAGGAGGAGCAGCAGCAACATCCTCAGCAACTGCAGCTACAGCAACAACTTCAGCAGCGACCACAACACAAACTGTCTTGGGAACCACAAATTCGCGGGCAAATAAAAAGTCAGACAGAAACGCAACAACACCACCAGCAACAGCAGCAGCAGCAACAGCAACAGCCGCAACAGCAACAGCAGCAACAGCAGAAACAGCCCCAACAGCAGCTACAGCAGCTACAGCAGCTACAGCAACACCATGCGCTACAACAGCAACAGCAGCTACAGCAAAAGCAGCTACAGCAAAAGCAGCAAGAGCCGCAGGAACAGCAGCAGCAGCACCAGCAACAGCAACAGCAACAACAGCAACAGCAACTGCAGCAACAGCAACTGCAGCAACAGCAACAGCTACAGCTACAGCTACAGCTACAGCAGCAGGAACAGCAACAGCAGCAGCTACACCAACGGCAGAAACTGCAGCCTCAAAATAAAATTGCGCAGACGCGACTGTGTGAGCAGGCACAGCAGAAAGAGGGGCAGCAGAAGCCTGAGCAGCAGCAACAGCAAGAGCAGGACGAGGAACGGCTAGAGTACCAGAAGCCTCAGCAGCCGCAGCAGCAGCAGCAGCAACAGCAGCTTCTGCAGAACACACATCTGGAGGAGGAGGCGGAGCAGCAGCAGCAACAATATTTACACCAGAAAGAGCATCCTCTGCAGCAGCAGCAGCAGCATATACAACACCAACAGAATCCCGCACACCACCAGCAGCACCTGCACCAACATCTGCAGCAGCAGCAGCAGCAGCAGCAGCAGTATTCACCCTCTGCTTTGGTAGAGGGGCGTTGGTGTGGGGTGTCTCCTGGTGAGTTAAGCGGCCTTCAGAGTCTGTCAGGAGACAGTGTCTCTCCAGGGAGTTTGCTGCTGCAGGAGGGGGAAGTTGTGGGGACATTTAGTCCCCTTAACCTGTTGCCGTCAACTCCTTTGCCGCAGGTCCGCAACAACAGCAGCAACAGCAAGCCACGAGGAGAGCAGCAGCAAAAGGAGACGCTGCTGCATCTCCTGGCGCCCGCTGCTGTCGAATGCCTCCCGGGGGCAGAGTCACAGATAGCTCCCCTGCAGCTGTGGGGTACGGGGATCGTCTCCGGGGATCGTTCGGGATTCGTCTCCGGGGATCGTTCGGGGATCGTCTCCGGGGATTGTCCAGGGATCGTCTCCTGGGATCGCCGTGGGATGATGGGGGATCGTCCTGGGATCGTCGCGTGGGATCGTCCTGGGATCGTCTCCGGGGACGTATTGCAGGAAGAAGGAGAATTGCCGAGCCCTGGGCATGCAGCACAGCGTGCTGCTACCTTTGCCTTGATTGCTAGGATGGCAGCAGAGAAGGCAACGGATATGGAGGAAGGAGAAGCTGATGTTTCTCTCCATTATAGTGGTGGGGGGCCCCTAGTGTCTCCTTCAGGGGCCCCACACACAATGCCCAGTCTTGCCTCCGATGCCTCTCGCTGTCTCCAGCTCTTCCTCGATGCCCACAAAGACCTAGGCTGCAGCATCAGCAGCAACAGCAACAACGACGTCAATAGCGGCTTAATCACTGCATCAGCAGGCAATGGAGCTGCAGCAGCAGCAACAGAAACACCGGCAAATGCAACAGCGGCGGCTGCAGCAGCAGGTTCTTCCCGCGCAGCATTGTCGCTTCCCGGTGGCAGCAGCAGCACAAGCAGTAGCACCAGCAGCAGCATTCACACTGAGAAGAGCCAGATGGAGAGAGCAGCAGCAAAAGTTGCTGCTCGCTATTTCTCTACTTGCGCCATTCAAGCAGCAGGATTGGCTGTTGCAGGTTGCATGCAGTCGCTGCCTGGGTATGCTGCGCTGCTGCAGCATACGCAGCTGGGGAAGCAAATGCAGCAGTGGCTGCCTCAACAAGCAGCAACGGCAGCAGCAGAAGTAGCAGAACCCTCCCTCTTGTCCGATAGCTTTAGAAGATCCTGCAGCAGCAAACAGCAAACACACAGCGACATAGAAGGCGATAGTCTCTTGCTGCAGCATCTGCAGGAACAACAGATACCCCAAGGACAACAAACGCATAAGCAGCAACATGCTGCTGGAGCAGCAGCAATAGCAGCAGTTGCAAGGGATGAAACGATGGAAGGAGAGTCCACGGATACCGCCATAGGGCAGCTCCAGCAGCAGCAGCAGCAGCAGCAGCAGCAGGACGCGCACATGGTGGAAGCATTAGCTGCTCAGGCCCACGAGCTGCTGCAGCAGCAGTTAATGACCGAGGAGTTGCAGCGGCAGGCGCAGCAACAGAAGCAGCTGGCTCAGCGGGAGCTGCAGCACGCTCAGCAGCAGCAGCACGAAGCGCAGAAACTGCTCGCTATTGTATGCCGCAAAGAAGAAAGCCTCTGTCAGCAGCGGGAGCAGCTGCACATGCAACAAGAGATGCAGCGGCGGTTACAGGAGGAGCTGCAGATACGCGAGGCTCATCAGCGGCATCGCGAAGTGCTGCAGCAGCAGCTGCAGCAGCAGCACCAGCAACAGCAACAGCAGCAACAGAGGCGGCACCAACAAGAGCGGCAGCAGCTGCAACATGAAGAAAAGATGGTGCAGATGAGGCAGCAACTGCTAGAACAGCAGCTTCTGCGACAGCAACAGGTGGTAGCGGAATTTGAAAGCCAAGCAGCGGAGCAACAGCGGCAGCGGGAGCTGTTGCAGCAGCAGCAGCAGCTGTTGCAACAGCAGCAACAGATGCTACAGCAGCAACTTGAGGACCTCAAACTCCGCGGCCAGCAGCAGCAACAAAAAGAGGAACAGTTGCAACAGCGCCACAAACAGCTGCAGCAGCTCGAAGAGCAAATTAGCCTTCGCGAGAGAAGCGTGCAGGAGCAGCAGGAAAAGCAGCGGGAGAAGGAGCAGGAGTTGCAGCAGCAGCAAATGCAGCAGCAGCAGACAGCGGATCAGCTGATGCAGCAAACGCAGAGACTAAAAGAGATGGAAAGAGAATTGGATGAGCAGAAGGCAAAAGGTATGTGCTTTTAACGCAGTAAGAGCAGCAGCAGCAGCAAGAGTAGCGACAGCAGCAAGAGCACCAGCAGCATTAACACCAGCAGCAGTAGTTCCCTGTAAGCATCTCTCCCTACTTAGAGGGGACCAACCAGTGCATCAGGTATTGTTTGCATCTGGGCATTCTGTTTGCAGCAGCAGCAGAAGCAGCAGCAGCCGCAGCAGCTACAGCAACCGCAACAGAACTGGCTTCTGTCTCTACAGCAAGATTGGCTGCATGCGATGGATCTGCTCCCATATTTTCCTTTTTAGCTGCTCATGGGTTAAAGGGTGAGGACACACTCCATGAGCTGCATCAGCTAGAGCAGCAGCTAGTGTCTCTTTGCCTTAGTTACCTAACGCAGCAGAGGAGACACCTGGCACTCTTAAGGAAGCCCTTGGAGGCAGAGGGACAGCTCCTCAGATTGGCAGCAGCTGGAAATCCACCGGTAAAACAGGCAGCAGCAACAACAGCAACAACAGCAGCAGCACCAGCAAGTGTTGCTGCTGCTCTCCCTGGAGGGAGCAGCAATCATCCAGCTAGTGACAGCCAGCGCTGTCACGTGGCTATGAAGCTCAAGGCATGGAACGCGACGGCGAGGTGAGTTGGGCCGTTCTTTGCACCACCAGCAACAGCAGGAATTGCAGCAGCAGCGGCTGCTGCTCCTGCACACATGCATTGCACGCTGCTGCTGCTGCTGCTGCACATCTCTCCGTTCCTCTTTGCTGCTGCGCTATCCCAGGTCTGTCCGTCTCGCCCTCTCCGCCTTCACTCTTCGAGCCAAATACCTCGCAAGCCATGTACCAACTAGGGGCCCCCCGGCAAGGGGGCCCCTTGGTACCCCCTTGCCAGATGGTCTCGCGGGGTCCTCCTTTGGGGCTTCTGGAGGGGCCCCTTTAGACACCTCTGAAGGGAGCTTTTCGGGAACTCTGTTTGCTGCTGCTGCAGCCCGTCCGCAGCAGCAACAACAACAACAGCAACAGCAACAACAACAACACAGCCAGCCGAGCCACTGCAGCACCATTCTCCCCCCAACTGCTGCAGAGTTCTCAAGTACGGTTCTGCATACTAGCAACAGCGAGAACTGCGCTGCAGCAGAAGCTGGAGCCGCAGCACCAGCTGCAGCAGCTGCTGCAGCAGGAGCGCCGGCGCCTGGTGCAGCAGCAGGCGCCACAGCAGGAGGAACTATCCAGCCTGCTTGGGAGGGCCATGTGCTTCTCCAGCATACAGCTGCCTCCCCAGCGGCAGAATTGCTGAAGCAGCAGCAGCACCTGCAGCAGAAGCTGCAGCAGCAACTGCAGCAGCTCCAGCAGCAGCAACAGAGGCTGCCCGCACCAGCACTGGCACCTTCATCGGGGCCCCCTTCAACAGCAGAGGGGCCCCCCGAGCGTCTTTGCTCGGGGTCATCTGAAGTGCTGCAGCGGCTGCAGTCAGGTATGCAGATTTCCGATTTATCTGTGATGGGCTTTACGGGGACCCCCGTGAACCCTTGGAATGCTGCATGCGACAGCAAAGGGGCCCCAGGAGGTTCCTCGTGTCTTCCCTCTGTGGCGCCTGCCTGCAACAGCAATCCCCCTGATTGTACTACTCAACCTCCAGCAAACGAGCAGCACGCAGCAGCTCTTGCTGCTGCAGCTGCGGTAGCGGCAGCGGCTGCAGCTCCCATTAAGGTGTTGCAGAGAAGAAGGGGCATGTCAGTTGTCCCCCAAACCGACACTGCAGCACCAACATATGCAACAGGGGCAACAAGTACAGCTGCAGCAGAAAGGGGATGGGGGACACCGAGGATGCACCAGCTGCAGCGTCGGCAGCAACTCGCTCCCCTCCCGCCCTCTAGGGGCCTCATCTACACCAGCTAGTATTCTCTGCTGCTCCTTTTCGTGTTCCCGCTTGATGCTGTTGCAGCTTGATGCAGTTGCAGCTTGCTGCTGTTGCAGCTTGATGCTGTTGCAGCTTGATGCAGTTGCAGCTTGCTGCTGTTGCAGTTTGATGCTGTTGCAGCTTGATGCTGTTGCAGCTTGCTGCTGTTGCAGCTTGCTGCTGTTGCAGCTTGCTGCTTCTGCGGCAACCGCAGAAGAAATTCCTTTTAAGGCCTAGATAGTAAGCCAAGCCACCTAGGCAGCAGTCGTTCACTAGCGTGCTGCTGTAGTTCCGCCCTGCTTGGTGTTGCTGCAGCAGCAGCAGCTGCTGAGGCTGGATATGTGGTTAATGCTGCAGCAGCAGAGCAGCAGCAAATGCATGCATGCCCTTAGCCTCTGTGGCTGTCGTCGTTTTCCCCACAAGATGTCTTTTCGCGGGGATTTCCAGCAGCTTCCCGGCAGCAGCATGAAACCCTAAACCCTAAATTGCATGCTCATAATACCCTTTCTATACAACAATAAGCAGCCGGCGTAGCCAACGCCGACCTTCGTGTGCAGAACAACAGCAACGAGGGTTTAGGGTCTACGGTCGAGGGTTAAGGGTTTATGGTTCCTACTAAATGCCCTGAGTAGGGTTTATGGTTCCTACTAAATGCCCCGAGTAACAACTCAACTAAACAGTAAAACGCCAAACAACAAGGGACAGCAGAATCAGCGTCTGGTGCAGCAACAGCAAGCATGCAGCAGCAGGTAGCAGCACCCCTTTAGACCCCTCTCCCCTAGCCTCGACCCCAATATAAAGTAAGGCTGCTGTCGTAGCACCAGCAGATATGCTGGTCGTAACAGGAGAAAACAAAATAGAATAAAAGAAGAGAATTAAGGGAGTAAGCAGGAAATGAAAGAAAGAAAAAGACGGATCTGCTGCAGCAGCCCTACAAAGACGGGTAGCCACTATTAAACATAAAAAAAAAAATAAGAGTAGCTAAGCTCCTGCTGTAGACACAGTTATCCCTCGTAAGGAGTTGTCTAAGAAATAAATGCTGCATGCAGATAAAGGATTATATGCAAAGGCACGTGCATCCATCCATGCAAGACACAGCCCTGCATGCGTGCATACCAAAGAGACAACAGATTAGCTGCCAAAGCAGAGCCTCTGCTAAAACAAATGGGATCGTCTCCTGAGGAGACGATCCCACGGGGATCGGATCGGCTCACCAGGAGACGATCCCACGGGGATCGTCTCCTTTTGGTTTTGTTGTGTGGGATTTGGCGGGGTAGGGTTACATTACCCCCTTGCAGTTGGGGGCCCCACAGTAGCATATCTCCTGCTGCAGGGAACTTTCCGATAGACTGCATGCAGCAGCAAGGACAACAGGCACACAGCTCAATGCATGCATTGGATCTTAGCTGAGGCAGTTATTGAACTGCTGTTGTGCTGCTGCTTTTGCTCTGCTGCAGTGCTGCTACTCTGCTCTGCTGCTGTGCCACTAGAAGTAGCAGCACTGTAGGTGTGCTGCCTTTCTCTGCCGTCGCCGTACGGCAGACAGAAGCAGATCCAGCAGCCAAGACAGCAGCAGACCCAGCAGCAAAGACAGCAGCAAAAGCAGCAGCAAGATAATACCTGTAATTATACAACAATTCTTCCCCCACTTTTATATCGCGCAGTGCCAACAAACCCACATGACTACCTCCATCCTCTTCGTCTTCATCCTGCATGCATGCAATAACACATGTCAATCCATGCATGCATCCATGCATGCACGGATGCAGTTACACAAAACACATGCATGCATTCAAGCAAGCGAGAACACCCATAAATGCATGCATGCAAGCACACATATAAACATATATATAGGGAGAGAGATAGGCATACATAGAGAGACACAGACAGGCAGAAACAGACAGCGACAGGCAGCCAGCCAGTCAGGGGCACTAAGAAGGGAATGCATGCATGCGTGCATGCATGAATGTAAGGAGGATATATATATATATAATATATATATAT